TGGGATTAAAGGGGTGTGCCACCATTATCTATCTCCTACTTCCTGCTTTTGACTGGATATCACGAAAGCTAGATTAGCTTCAAACCTGTTTATACAGCCCAAGCTGGTCTTGCCTCTACTTCTCAAGGGTGGAAAGCACGCGTGTGCACCCAGACGACCTGTTTATGCACACTGGGCACTAAGGCCAGGCCTGCACTTACCAACCAGGCACTCTGCCAGCCGAGCTGGACTCTCAGAGAGAGTAAACACTGGCCCTGGTGGCACAGATCCTTAATTCTAGGTAGTTGCGAATCTGGCGCAGGAGGATCACCAGTTCAAGGTCAGCCTGGACTATTTAATGAGATCTCAAAAAACAAAATAAAAAAAGGTTGTGGGGTGTAGCTTGGTGGTTGAACAGTCTAGCCTGCTTGACGCCCTAAGTTCAATCTCTTATAGTGAGTAATTTATAAAACAGAAAGGGCAGGGTGTCAAGTAATCTTGCCCAAAGTCACGGAACCAGTTAGCTGTATGACACAGAAAACTAAAACATAATTTCAGTTTTCAAAACACTGAAATTAAGTGAAAATAACTTGTTTTGGAAATGTGCCCATTTTGTTTAAAAATTATTTTGATTTACTTCAGGAACAAATCAATCACTATGATAAATATGTAATTAATTCCTAATAGCTTTTTAGGGCCAGTGAGATTGCTCAGTGGTTACAGTCACCTGTTGCCAAGCCAGAAGACCTGAATTTGATACTCAAAAAAAAAAAAAAAAATCACATGGCAGAAAAAGGAAACTTATTGCTATGATTTGTCCTCTAACTTCCAAATGACACCATGGCATGTGTATGATCCCATGCCCACATATAAATAAATGTAAGATATTTTCTAAAAAAAATCCATTAAAAAAAGCTATAAATATAACTACATATATATGTATATATACTTCACACACACACACACACACACACACACACACACACACACACACACTAAAAATATATCTTAAAGGTAGGGTTTCTCTGTGTAACTGACTGTCCTGGAACTGTCTATATAGACTAGACAGACATTGAACTTACAGAGATCTACCTCCCTCTGCCTCTAAGTGCTAGGATTAAAGGTATGCTACTACGCCCAGCTTCTAATAGCTTTTGAAATTATTAATTACCCAGTATTTACTGTTGTATCTTAAGAGCTACACTGCCTTTGGTCCAGATTTTGATCCTTAATAAATTCAGATCAAATTATTTAAAACTTTTTTTTGAAACTCTGAGAAACTTCTGTTCAAATGCAGTTTTGTCTGAGTCATTCTTCCGGGTCAGTTTTGGCAGATCATTGTGTAAGTGCACAATATTAAAATGTAAGGTTCCTAAGGCGCAGGAACAATGACAGGTATGTAACGAAATTCATCACTGAGCCATGTGCTACACTACAGGTTTCAGAGATTTAAAGTATACGTCTAATGTGTACACTTGTCAATAATTTTTAGTTGATTTGATAGCTTTTTCAGTTCCTACACTGGGTAAGTTATTATAATGTGATGATGTCAACTGACGGCATCTATGATAGTCTGGTGTGCTACTGCTTTACATATTACCATCACACGTTATTTGTAATGACTGCTCATTTTATAAACTGGAAAGATATCTAGAAAAGTTAAAAATGTATTTAATACAAACACAATCACTTTTAAATTATGAGGGAAAAAAGGATGTGGCAGTCTTTCAAGGCTTGTATATTTATTTGTAATAGTTTAAGTTGTCACAAGAAGATGTAGGGCTGACAGATCTTTTGATTACATATTTATATTGCTGCATAAATGACACAAAAAACTGTTGCTTTTGGACAAAAGAGTTCAATTATGTAGCTTGGGCTAACCTTGAACTTGAAGCAACTTTCCAGTTTCAGCCTCTCAAGTGCTGGGATTAAAGGTGTACATTAACAAATCTGGCTTTAAAAAATTATTCTCAGCTGGACATGGTGCCATAGATCTTTAATGCTAGCTCTTGGGGGAGGGGCAGTGGCAGGTAGATCTCTGTGAATTCTAGACTAGCCAGACCAGAACTACATAGTAAGGTCCAGTCTTTAAAAAAGAAAGTGAAGCCCAAACTAAAACCAAGCAAAGCATCATAGTTGGTGTATGCCTGTAGTTCCAGCACTCCAGCTAATGTCAGGAAATTTAAGAGTTTTTAGTTAGGCTGGGTGGTGGTGGTGGTGCACACCTTTAACCCCAGAGGCAGGCGGATCTTTGAGAGTTCAACGCTGGCCTGTCTATAGAGTGAGTTCCAGGATGGCCAGAGTTGTTACACAGAAAAACTCTGTCTTGGGTGGGTGGGGGGAGTTCTTGGCCAGTTTGAACTTCATATTTCCACAATGAGATTCCATCTTAAGAAAAGACAAAAACAAAGCCTGGTAGTAGTGGTGCTTATTTTGAATTCCAGCACTTGGGAGGCAGAGGCACAGACCTCTGTGCATTCAAGGCCAGCCTGGTCTACAGAGTGCATTCCAGGACAGGTTCCAAAGTAACACAAAGAAATCCTGTCTTGAAGAAAACAAAAAACAAACAAAGGAAAAACGAAAAAAAAAAAATATCAAAAAAGACAAAAACATCTAAAAATAAAATAAAGCAAAACAAAATTATTTATTTATTTTTATCGCAGATAGGGTTTTGTGATTTAGCTCGGGCTGACCCTGAACTCTTTATGCAGAATAGGCTGGCTTTGGACTCACGGAAATTCTGCATTAGCCTTCTAAGCTCAGAGGCTGCATGTGTGAGGCACTAAGCTAGGCTTCAAAGAACAGCTGTTTATTTTACCACTCCCCCCCTTTTTTATCTTTTGAGACAGGGTTTCTCTGTAGTTTTGGAGCCTGTCCTGGAACTAGCTTTTGTAGACCAGGCTGGCCTCAAACTCACAGAGATCTGCCTGCCTCTTCCTCCCAAGTGCTGGGATTGAAGGTGTGTGCCACCATGGCCTAGCCTATTTACTTAATTTTTAAAAGATTTGTTGTTATTTTAAATTTGTGTGTGTCCCCATGTGCGGGTTTATGAACATGAAAGCAGGCTCATGGGGAGGCCAGAAGTGTTGGAGCCCCTTGAGCTGGGTTCTACCTGGCTGCTAGACACTTGGTATTATTGCTGGGAAATGAAGTCTGGTTCTTTGCAAGTGGAGCACACTCTCCTAACCTTGAGTCATCTCTCGAGCCCTAGTTCTTCATGTATGTGTGTCCATGTGAGTGTGTATGTCTGTGTGCACAGGAAGGGAGGCCAGAATGTGTGCGGTTACCCTCTCCCACCACTCTGCCTATTCCTGGGAGCAGGGTCTCTCCTTGAACCTGGGGCTTGGTTTCTTGGATAGGCTGGAAGCCAGCAAGACCTAGCAATCCTCTTATTTTCCTAGTAGGTGGAATAATAGGTGTTTATGGGTTTCCTGGCTTGTTAAATGTGTACTATACAAGTGAACTTGGCTCTTTTCAAATATGTGGCAAGTATTAACTGTTGAGCCACCTCTCAGCCCCCTAGTTTTGAAAGGAACAAATGGGGCTGGTCAGATGGTTTAATGGGGAAAGGTGCTCGCTGTCAAGCCTGATGAGCTGAGTTCAATTTCGGGGACACACACAATGGAAGCAGAGAACCGACTCCTTCAAGTTGTTCTCTGATCGCCACATGTGCGCTTTACACGTAAACACACACCAAACAGACAGGCAGACAGGCAGACACACATAATAAACTTTTTTGGAAGAAACCAAATGAAGCAAACTTTTGGAAATGATAGTCACTATTAGTAACTGTGCTCAGTTAACTCACCCAGCTTCTTACTTGGTTCAGGACGTGGTAACAGTCCATGCTCATCTCTTCTATTGGGAGAAGCAGTGACTTCATTATCAAATTGTTTTCCATCATTCTTACTGTCTGTTGTATCAGGGCTATCAATTTTTAGAATTTCTTTAAGCATCCGTGTTCCTTTCTTTTTAGAAAATGATTCATAAGTAGATGTGGGGGTGAGAAGAAAGCAAATGTTAGGCTTATATAACTTATACATCTTTCTTCTTGCTTTTCTGAAGTTATTATTTTTCTTTTGAGGTGTCCTTATGCATGCTGGACAGCTCTACTACTGAGCTGTCTCCTCAGCCTTTGCTCTTTCTTTTTAAGAGTTGCTGCTGTTAAAAACTAATATGCTAACTAAATTCATATAAGACAAATAGATGGTCAAGGCCTGCAAAACGTTCACATTTCAGTGGACAGAGATAATATTTTTCCTATTTAATTTATAGCCTAGTGAACAGCAATGTTTAAAAAGCAGGGATCTACGGGAAAACAAAAACAAAACCCTACAAAAGCAGCAGCACTCAGGGATGGCTGTCTCTCACAGCATCCTGGTTTTCCTCAGCTGATGATGAAAGCGATACAAGAATCAGAGGTTAATTCCAGCACTCAGGAGGAAGACAGAGGCAGATTTGTGTGAGTTCAAAGCTGGCCTGGTCTAGAGAGCGAGTTCCAGGACAATTAGAGCTGTTACACAGAGAAACCTTGTCTCGAAAAACCAAAAACCAAACTAAACCAAACCAAACCAAACCAAACCAAAAAACCAAAACCAAGCCAAAACAAAAAGTGATACAGATACCATCCAACATGAGATACTGGGTTCGAACAGGTACACAGGGCATGCATGGCCAATGGAAGACAGAAACTGCAGCTCCAAAGCTGCTGAGCATACGAACCATAGCAAATGACTGTGGTGACAGATGCTCCTCATCTGGAGGCTCCCCGTGATGAGGTGACTGCACTTCACTCTCTTTAGAGATATTCAAAGATGCTAAAAAATTCTCAATTCCCGAGGAAGGCTAAAAGAATAAATATTTATGCATAAAGATAAAAGAAGAAAGAAGTAAATCTAGTAAAAAGCTAGATTTTACTCTAAAATTTCAACTTTCACTCAATAATTGTCCTAGATGTAAAGTTTGGAAGAAACAGCGAATAAGATTTATTTATTTACTTACCTTATCGATAGCAGTTGGGTAACCAGTCACAACCTTTTGGGCTTCTGAGGCTCCTGGACTTTCATTTCTCTTCAATAGTTTAATATTACATTTGGCAGAGGCTCCAGAAGTCTGTAAGAAAGAGTAAGTTTTTGTGCAAGTAAACTTAAAGTTACTATTTTAACAGTATTCTGAATAAATTGAGCAAAGTGTTTATGTATTGCATTCTCTCTCTCTAAAGATTTATTCATTTTTATGTGTGAGTGTTTTTACCTGCATGTATGCCAGTGCAGCACCATTTAAGCTGCCATGAAGGTGATGGGAATTAAACCCAGGTCCTGTGAAAGAGCAAGCAGTGCCCCTAACTAGTGAGCCAAATCTCCGACTCCAAGTACTGCTTTCTCTTACCGCCATAAGAAAAAATGGGGAGAAGATTATCTTTATTCTCATTAACCTGTGAATAAGATTCATATTTCTTTCAATTTTGAATATGGACAACAATCATTGCTAAGGACTGTGTTTGTGTCCTTCCACCTCAATCAGGAGGTAATCAGCTTCATGAAGTGGCATTCTCATGACAGGATTAGCAACCGTAAAAGGAGAAAGAAGGAAAACTGCATTCTTTCTAACATGTCAGAATTTAAGACAGGAGCCTCTACCTAGAGGCCAAGAAGAAGCCCTTAGAAGACACAGACCTTACCAGATCCTAACTGTATTTTAGTACTGTTGTTTCTCTCAAACTTATATATTTTATTTTACTATAAAAAACATTATTTTGTTGGATGTAGTGGCACACACCTCTAATCTCAGTACTCTTTTGAAGGTAGAGGCGGAAAGATCATGAGTTTAAGGCTAGCCTTAGCTACCTACACAGTGAGTTAAGAGGCCAACTTGTGCTACAAGAGACCTTGTCCACAAATCAGCATTTGCTCCCACTGAGCTATGTTCCCAAGCCAAGAGATCCACTCAAAAATGTGTAGTAAAGTATGATATATATGCCTAGAAGGATACATAATTGCCAGATTCTTTGATTCTTAAGATTTCTTAAGATGTCTACATGTTCTTTATTGAACAGTAGAGACTTTGTAAAACAAAATATAATGTCTGATCTCGGCTCCCTCATTCTAACTCTGTGCAATTTGACTTTTTTGTTTTGTTTTTCAAGACAGGGTTTTTCTCTGTAGCTTTGGCTCTTGTCCTGGCACTAGATCTGTAGATCAGGCTGGCCTTGAACTCAGAGATCCATCTGCTTCTGCCTCTCGAGTGTTGGGATTAAACGCATGTGCCATCTCTGCCCAATCAATCTGACCTTTAAAATGATGCCACCAGTGTACATACACACAGACATTACTGAGTATTTTATTAATACATGAGAAAAGTTTTAAGTGACCAATAATTTACTTCCATCTTAAAGATAAAGAAGTCAAGGTTGTGTTTTTTTTTAAAATATATAATTTATTTATTTTAAGTACATCAGTGTTTTTGCCTACAGGTATGTCTGTATGAGGGTGTCAGATCCCTTGGAACCGAAGTTATAGACAATTGTGAGCTGTCATGTGGGTGCTGGGAATTGAACCCAGGTCCTCTGAAAGAACAGCCAGTGCTCTTAACTGTTGAGCCATTTCTCCAGCTTCTCGAGGTTGTTAAGAATTGATCACGACTACCCACCACTACTCTTAAGTGGTGAAACGAGGATGACAGATGTCTATTCTGAACCCTAGACTCCAGTTGTGTGACCATCCATCTATGTGACTGTGACATGGCTTTCACTGCATTCCTTACGGATTTTTTAAAAGGCTGCAAAAATAACTTAGATGCTATACAATAACTAATTGCACAAGAACATCCAATTATTAAACATTTTTAAAAAAATTACCTGCTTATTGGACAATTTTTGTGTTTGGCACTCAGCTTTAGGACTCTTATATTCTTCCTTAACTGGAGACAAGAAAACAGAAATTTTGAGACGCAAAAGAGCTTACTAAATACCAGTTAAATTCATCAAGTATTTACCATTGTAAAGCAGTGTTTAAAGTATTTCAAGGTGTTTAGTTTTCTCCTGTGTCTGTGCTCCTCCACCCCCATGCTGTCAATGCTGGAGCTCAAACATAGGTGCTGGTCCATGGCAGGCACTGACCACAGCAACAAATGAGAAGAAGCATGAACTGAAGAAATTTATAATCCAGGTGAGATGGAGAAAGATAATTGCAGATAATCAGATGGGAAAGGAGAGTGGCATCTGAATCAGGCTTGGAAGGGTAATAGGGTCTCCAAGTGCAAAAGAAGAGGTTTAGAATTATAGGTAAAAGGTTCGAGAAAAGACACGAGAGCAGAAAGGGTTGTACTTAATGTGTCAGTTCTGTAGGAGGATAAGGAATAATGTCAAGCCTAATGGAACTAAAGAGGCAGGTGAGTCATAATCTGGGAGATACTGAAACACATGGAATTAAGTTGTAAGCAATGGCAAGCAATCACAGAAAGGTTCTGAGCAGATAGTAATCTGGTCAGAATTGTAATTTAGTAAGATTAAATTATGAGCAATACACTCTTGGCTAGATAAATGAAGAGTAAGAGACAAGTAAGAAAGCTCTTAAAAATTTTATTCTCAGGGAACTGGAGAGATGGCTCAGAGGTTAAGAGCACTGGCTGCTCTTCCAGAGATCTTGACTTTAGTTTCCAGCAACCACAACAGCTCACAACCATCTATAATAAGATTTGCTGCCCTCTTCTGGTGTGTAGGCATACATGTAGGCAGAACACTACATATATAATAAATAAATATTAAAAAAATTATTTTTGAAGCTGGGCAGTGGTAGTGCATGTCTTTAATCTCAGCACCGGGAGGCAGATTTCAGAGTTTGAAGCCAGCCTGGTTCAAATATCCAGGAATACACAGAGAAACCCTGCCTAAAAAAACAAAAAGCAAAAGCAACAAACACAAACAACCTTTTTGAGTTTATGTGTGTGTTTATGCATGAATGGCATATGTATGTATGCATGTATATGTATATGTATGGAGGACAGATGTAAACAAAGAGTTTCTTCCTTATCAATTTCTACTTTACTTTTCTGGACAGGGTCTCTCACTGAATATGGAGTTTACCCATCAGCTAGACTGGTAGACCAATGAATTCCAGGGGTCCACCTGTCTCCACTCCTAACTCCCCTCAGTGCTAGAATTACAGACAATGGCCTTGGTGCCAGGCTTCAGCATGTGTGCTCAGGTCCTCATGCCTGTGCTACAGACACTTTATCGAGCGGAATATCTCCCAGGCCCTAATTGCTTTATTTTGAGACAAGGTCCTGCTATGCATCCTAGTTTGGTCTGGAAATCACTATGTAGCCCAAGGCTGGTATGAAATTGTGATCCAATCCTCCTTTTTTTTTTTGTAGGTTTTTCAAGACAGGGTTTCTCTGTAGCTTTGGAGCCTGTCCTGGAACTAGCTCTTGTAGACCAGGCAGGCCTTGAACTTACAGAGACCCGCCTGCCTCTGCCTTCCGAGTGCTGGGATTAAAGGTGTGTGCCACCACCTCCTGGCCATGAGCCAATTGTCCTAACTCATCCTTCATAATGCTGGGATTATAGCTGTATATCATCATGCCCATTAAAGCAACTTTTGCCATTTCTGCTAAGGAGAAGCTAAGAGCAATAGGAAAAAAAATGAGATATTATCTTTAGAAGATTTAGGAAACAAAAGGCTTTAGAGATGAAGGAGATTAAGATTTGAAAAGGACATCATTTAGTATGCAATCTTCTATTGCATTAGATACACTAGATTATATAGTTGTTCTAAGTTAATTTTTTTCCTCCTTACCACTGGACTGTTTATTAGGCCAGTGTGGAGAGGAAAGAATAAAAGACTGGGCATGGTGACATATGCCTGTGATCCCAGCATTTAGGTAGTGTCAACAGGAGGATCAGCAGTTCAAAGTTATCCTTGGGTACATAGTGAGATCCCAGCCAGCCTGGGCTTTGGGAGATCCTGTGTCAAACAACAACAATGAGAACATTATCACCACAACTAGCAACAAAAAAAAGGTGAGAAGAAAGGAAAGGAGATACCAAGGGAAAAGCATGAAGAAAGCATCAGGATATGAGAAGGGAGAATAAAAAAGGGAAGGAAATAAGGAAGACAGGAAAGGAAGGAAATGAAATGTAAGAACACACATGACTACAAGCCTTTGTTAAGACATACAATTTCATATAGTAACCTAACTCACTGTACACAGAAACACTCTCAGAAAAACATTTAATACATTTTCATTAAATATAAAACCTTCAGCTGAATAAGCTGATGCATGGAGAGGGTAGATGAAATAAGGCTGGCTTTGATTTGGGTATATGGTATGCACATGTGGAAATAAATGGAGCCATATTAATATCTACAATTAATATGTGCTAATGTATAATAGGAAACCAAAAAAAATTCCCACAAAAAGAACTCAGTCCCAAGTCCAGTTTGCTTTCTGGTGATTTCTACTGAACATTTAAAGAGGATGTAATGGTATTCTTTCCAAAACTTTTCAAAAACATCGGCAGGACTATATCTCAGTTCTGTGAGGTCAGTATTACCAGGATACCCTCAAATTTTAAAGATACCCTTTATAAATACACATGCAAAAAAAACAACAACAAAAAATTCAAAACCCATAAAAATACTAGCAACGTAACTCTTCAAACATGTCAAAATGATTATGAATTGTGATCTAGCAGGATTTACCCTAAAAATACAAAGTTGGTTCAACATAGGAAATATAATTGGACAAATCATGAAAATTGAATTGAACAACAGATACAGAAAAACAAAACAAAACTCATCAAGGATGTAGGGATGGGGACAGGATGGGGGAGATGGCTCACTCAGTAACGTGCCAGCAGCACAGGCACGACAATCTGAGTTTGCGTTGTTAGTATCTCCTTAAGAGCTGGACTTGGAAGTCTGCATCTGTTACCCCAGTTCTGGGGGACGGTGGAGACAGGAAGATCCCTGGGGCTCACTGGACAGCAAGGCTACTCAACAGTGAGCTCCAGGTTTAGTTAGACTTTGTCTTTAAAAATGAAGTGGATGAACCAGCATGATGGCCGAGCGGATAAAGGAAGGGCAGACAGAAGGGAGGATGCAGGAGGAAAAAAAGAAAGCAAAAACAACAAATATTTAACAACATCTAGCTTCTTATAGGCAACAATAAGAATTTAGAAAATAGAGAATTTACTAACCAAATATAGGACAAAGAGACCCACAGCTAAAAACCTCATCTGGTAGTAAAGGCAGAAAGTTGACTTCTAAGATCATGGTTAGACAAGAATGCCCACTCTTTTTTTTTTTAAATTAACATATGGCTGAATGGTGGCGGTGCATGCCTTCAATCCCAGCTGTGGGAGGCAGAGGCAGGTGGGTCTCTGTGAGTTCAAGGCCAGCCTGGTCTACAGAGTGAGTTCCAGGGCTACATGGTGAAACTCTGTCTCAAATAAAAAAAAACAGAACAATAACCCCCACACACATAAAACACCAAAACCAAAAAACAAACATAACTTCATCAGTAACAGCATCAAAAAGAATAATAGAGGAATACATTTAATAAAAGGAAAAAGTCTAAGGATTGTGTACTGCAAATGATAACACATCAGTGAAAGAAATTAGAAAGCACTAAACAAATGGAAAGGCATTTGTGTTAACAGGCAGGGCTGCATAAGACACTGTACCCAATGTTATTTATTAAAATTCCAGGCATGGTGTTTGCAGAAATAGATAAGATTATGGAAAATTGATATGGAAACGCAAAGACCCAGAATAACTGAAACCATCTTGAAAAAGGCAAACAAAGCTGGGGGATGCAAAACTGTCTGATTTCTCTTTTTCTTTTTCTTTTCTTTCTTTTTTTTTTTTTGGTTTTTTGAGACAGGGTTTCTCTGTAGCTTTGGAGCCTGTCCTGGATCTAGCTTTTGTAGACCAGGCTGGCCTCAAACTCACAGAGATACGCCTGCCTCTGCCTCCCAAGTGCTGGGATTATAGGTGTGCGCCACCAGTGCCCGGCAACTGTCTGATTTCTAAACTTACAAGAAAGCTCCAGTAAGGAAGACAGCATGCTGTTTGTACAGATGTGTATAGACCAGTCAGCTGGAATTGAGAGCCCACAAACTACCACAAAGACGTATTGTCAGCTGATTTTTATAAGGTACCAGGATATGTGATGGGGGAAAGGGCCGTCTTTCTGATGACTGTGCCGCAACACCCAGGCATCTCCAATGACAGCCTACCCCTTCCTCATTACTGCAGACTCTAAAATGATGGTTGTATTTTATTTGTTACTCCTCCGTCACTGTATGTGCGTCTGTGTGGGCATGTGCATGGCAGGGCACACATGCAGATCAAAGGGTAACTCTGGGAGCTGTTTCTCTCCTACCACCATGGGTGTCTTGGGATTGAATTCAAGTTGCCAGGCTTGAGCAGCAAGCCCCTTTACCTGTGGAGCCACCTCACTTGCCTGATGAATTTATTTTAAAGTATGAGTTACATTTCAACAAAGCTCTTCAAAAAACAAACAACAACAAAAACAACAATAAAAACAACTGAAAAAAAGGCAGATCAACACTTTTCTACCTTAAAACTTACGTTTTCGGTGAGGGTCATGTTTTTTTTGCTGGTATTTAACACTGTTGTCATTAAAGCCAGTTTTATGTGGTTGGGTTACTTGACTTATTTCTTGAGGTAGAACAGCACCCTGAAAGATAAAATTCACAGAAATCAATTAAACAAAACTTTAATATTATACCTTCAAAACATTTTAAATTTAATTCAATAAAAATTTCACAGCATATTAGAAAAACACAAAGAAAACTATATAGAATTTTAAAAACTACCCCAAAACTACCCTGGAATTAAGAATCATTAATCTAATGGCTACAATATCAGGACTCCTCCATGTGTCAGTTAGAAAGATAAATTCCCAAAGTTCTCTTTTCAATAGAGATAATTCAAACTAACTTTGCTTCAAGTTATGTCTGTGCACCGTGTGTGCCTGGGGCTTAAGGAGGTCAGAAGGGGGCATCAGATCCTTTGTAAGAGCAACGAGTGTTCTAAAACTCTAGGTCACCTCTAAATATTCTTCTCTAATATTCTCTAAATATTCCTCTCGATTAGCTTCCAAACAAATCTACTTTTAGTGTTAAGTGGGAATAAAGAGTGAGCTGCTGTAACAGAAGAACAAGGGTTGATGGGAGCAAGCTACGGTGGACATGTGGATTCACCTGCATGATTCTCTTGATTCACTAATGTTAAAGATTTTCTAATAAAAGCTTTAAGATTAATAATTTTTCTTGTATTTTATCAAAGTTGAGGATATTAACTAATTTACATTCTTTTCTATGTTCCTTCCCCAATAGCTGATTTTAAAATTAATATTTCTATTGCCAAATGAAACACATCTTTGCAGCAAGATTGATCACAAAGCCATAGTATTTAAGACACTTTATAATTGGCACAAGAGCAAAACTACATGACTAAGTGTCACATTAATATTTTACAAGATCATTTTTCTTTTGTGTGTATGTGTGTGTGCGCGTGCGCACGCGCTTGTGTACTGTTGTGTGTATGTGCTTACACAATAATGTCAGCATTCCTTCCTCAATCACTTCTTCACCTAATTTTTTGACAAGGTCTTTCACTAAACCTGGAGTTCACCATTTCAGCTAGACTTGGCTGGCCAGCAAACCCCTATGATCTGCCTGTCTTTACAACCCAGTGTTTGACTACAGACATGTGACATTACGCTTGGCTTTCACTTGAGTACTGGGGATCCAATTTCATGTCCAAGTATTTTACCCAATGAGCCAACTAGCCAATCTTAAGATCCTTTGTTTTTTGAAAGGAAGAAAAAGCCCTCGGGCAAAAATAAACAACTGGCTACAGCTGAAACCTGCAAGAAGTAAAAGCAGAGGCTGGGAAGCTTTAATAAAAATTACCTTTCTTCATTTTTCTTGGTAAGTTCTATATATTTCAATTCTGGGCACATACAAATTCACTTTGGATACAAAGGACATAATAATCCTAGCAGGCACTGAGCTTGTTCGAAAACACTGATATAGGATGGAGTTTGGGAGAAAAATCCAGTGAGTTCACATGCACAGGATCAGCCTGGGATCTTCATTAACAGTTGTATGGCATGAGAGTCCACCATTAAAGCAAGATGGCTGGGAGAGCTTTGGGAACAGTAGTATTTCTGAGGGGTCTGGGTCTAAGAAAGGGAATTAGAAATAAACACTCATAGAGAGATGTGAATAAATTATGTGCCTATTACTGCCAGGCATGCTAAATGTATTTTGCTTCTATTATCTCAGCATAGTATAATAATGCTAGCATCATAATAATGTTATAATATATTTTTATTTTGGTTTATATATAAATAAACTGAAGCCCAAAGTGATAACTGCATTGAAGAATTACTGATATTTGAACTCAATCTCCAAAATTTAAGTTTAAAGTACTTTTAAAAAAAGACACATAATTCTAAATGGAAAGCGAATGCTGTGGCTAGTTCTGGGTCATTCAGTGAAAACCCTTACTATTTGCACGTGCACGTGCTGGAGGTACAGGTGGTTGTCAGCTGCCTGACATGGGCACTGGGAACCAAACTTGAGTGCTTTGCAATTAGAAGTCCCCACTACTCCTCTGTAGACCAGCCTGGCCTAGATTCCACAGAGATCTCCCTGCCTCTGCTTCCCCAGTGCTGGAATTAAAGGCGTGCACCACCACTGCTGGGCTTTCTTTTCTCTCTTTGTTTAAATTCTTGGTGAGTTCTCTAGAATTTGCTTAAGCTCAGTTTCTTCTTCCTCCTCCCCTTCTTGGTTTTTTTTCGAGACAGGGTTTCTCGTGTAGCCCTGGCTGTCCTGGATCTTGTTCTGTAGACCAGGATATTTGCCTAGAACTCAGAGATCTGCCTGCCTCTTCCTCTCAAGTGCTGGGATTAAAGGTGTGTGCCCACCATGCCTGACCAAGTTTAGCTTCTAGGTAGCTTACAATTCTTGCAATATACAGGAGATAGACAAAACATGAGTGTGTTCAGCTGAAAGAAGTTGTATCTGATAACAGAAATTACGTACAGATTATAAAACAATATATCTCATGAGTCTCAGGGAAAGAACAGACCTTGAACCAGATCTGGAAGGATTCATCAGTAAAGGAAGAAAGTATATTCTGAGTAGAAAGAACAAAAAGAATACACAGTCCCAAATACAAACTATTTGTGGGAAACGGAAAGTAAAGAGCACTATCTGAAAACGTTATTTTTTTTTTAAGATTTATTTATTATGTAGAGTGTTCTGGCTGCATGTCAGAAGAGGGCACCAAATCTCATTACAGATGGTTGTGAGCTACCATGTGGTTGCTGGGACTTGAACTCAGGACCTTTGAAAGAGCAGCCAGTGCTTTTAACCACTAAGCCATCTCTCCAGCCCTCCTGAAAATGTTATTTTATCCAATAGTTGGACAGATTTTACATGAATTAGTATGGTTCCTGGACTAGAGGTCCCAAAGCTCTCTAGTCTTAGAGAAAGAATTAAAAAAAAAAAAAAAGACAGAGAAGAGACTCAACAAGGCAGGTTTGTCAGAGCAAAGTGCAAGTGTACTCTCAAGACAGAGGGCAGGCCGGCTCAAGAGTCTGTCTGTCCTGATGGTCTATGGAGCCTGAGTTTTTCTTGGGTCTTGGCCATGTGTCACAAAGATCTTTCCATACATGTTGTAGGGGACTGTTTTTATCTTGAATAGCCTCACAAGGACAGTCATACCACATGTTTAAGTGCACAACGGTTAATAAAGAAGCTGCTTTTGGCCAATAGTGCCAGGCTGAAAGAGATATAGAGTAGGGAGTCATAGAGAAGCCATGTAGCCACCTGAGGAGAAAGACATAAGCCACCAGATGGAACCTTGCCAGTAGGTCATGAGCCTCATGGTAAAATATAAATTAATAGAAATGGGTTAATTTAAGATATAAGAGTTAGCCAGAAATATGCTTAAGCTATTTGCCAAGCAGTGATTCAAATAATATATATAGTGTCTGTGTGTTTATTACGGTACTGGGAGGGACAGAAACCTCCGCAGACATATAACATTATTTTTTTTCTCCATCAATCCCTACTTAACACCAGGAAGAATCAAATTTGTACCTGCAATCGGCCGAACAACTCAAGGCCAGTGCTCAACCTCCAGACTTTCAATCTGTCTTTGTCTCTTTGAGATACGTAACATTATTTTTGGCCAGTTATTTGATAACTCCCTACCTGTATTCCACATCAGTAATAGACTACAAAAGACCTTATGAGTGGGAGCACTCAGGCTGGAACCCAATGGTACTGAACAGAGAGTCCAATGCATTCAAAATTAGAGAGACACACCTTTAGGGCTGGCAAAGATACCAGCGGTCTCCAATGCCTTCACTGCATATGTGAGATCACCGCAGTCCAAACAGGTACATACTGTAACTTATATTAGGAAACCTGCTTTTGGCCAATGGCTTAACAGATTCTAGAACTTGAGGTTCAGTACTCAGTACAATCTACTGCTACAGGGCATAAAGTCGTTTCCGACCCAGAAGACACCTGTCCCAATTATGCCTTGAGACCAGTACAGGTGAAAGGATCTTTCAGAAAGATTAGGAACTATTATATATAAAAGACTCTTATACGGTAGAACACAGACTAGAGCTTAGGTGAGACCTGGGGAAAAATCTGAAGTTTAACTGCGGGAACTGAGAAGTTCAAGGACTTAGGAAACAGAAAGAAGACAATAACAAAACTTTCTTTTAGGGGTGGCAGCATACCAAACCAGCAGCAGCAAGCCAGTGTGGACAGAAGTGGGACAGATGGGGACTCAGTCACATCTGTAGAGACAAAAGCTCTTGATTCCCCGGTTCTTTAGATTGACAGCCTGGGCAATAATGGTGTTAGAGACAGGAGTAAGAGGAGAGGCTCCCGACAGGGTTAATTTTGGGACATCCTGAGGTTGATGTGACAGCGCAGGATCCAGACTCCTTCTCTACAGACTGGTGATACTGGATGCAATACTTGACTAAGAGGTCAGAACCAGAGATTATAGATTAGCTAGACTTAAACAGATAGGAAAGAGTCAAAGTCATTAGTCAGGTAATAAGGCAAAAGGGGAAAGAAAACTTGCTCATTTCAGTGGAACTGTTTTCTAGTTGAATGTTGGAAAAGCAAGAATTAATAAAGAAGGTACATGCAAGCATCACGGAGATGCTCTCACTTGTTCACCCAGCCAATTCATTTCATGAAGCTGGGTTATGTAAACTGGCCCTGAACTCCTGACTCTCAGGTAAGTGATTCTTCTGTAAGCCTTCTGTAAGCTCAGGTAAGCCTTCTGAGCTGCAGAGAGTAGTTGAGACTACAAGTATATGCTATTTTGTATAGCTTGCTAACACCTTTAGAGAAAAATCCTTTGAGCACAGTATACTAACACCTAGAATCCCAACACTTGGGAAGTAGAGACAGGGAACAGTAGCTTAAAAATGCCTGTACAAGTCACCTATATATGTTACCTCCAATTCTTCCTTTCTCTATTTTAAAAAGGGTATTATTACATTTGTTTATCTATAGTAATGTAATATTAATATATTAATGTAATATTATATCTATATTACATGTGTAATGTCAGAAGAGGACATCAGCTCCCCCTTAGCATGATCAAATCAACTCTTTTAAAAAGAGTATTCAACTGGGGGCCTGGCTTACAATTACAGAGGATCAGTCCATTATCATCATGGCAGGGAGCAATGGCAGCACGCATAGATGGTGCAGGAGCAGTATCTGAGAGCTATACTCCGATCCGCAGGTGGAAAGAGAAAAATAGAGAAACACTGGGCCAGGTGTGGGCTTTTGAAAACCTCAAAGCTCAACCCTAGTGATACACTTCTTTCAACAAGGCCACACCTCTTAATCCTTCTAATCCTATCAACAAGTTCTGCTGGCTGGATGACTAAGCATTCAAATATATGAGCCTATGGGAGCCATTCTTAATTCAAACCACCACACTGATTCAGTAGTTTTCTCAGGCTAATGGATTTTTTGTTTTTTTTATTTGAGAGAAGGTTTTAAGAGTAGCCTGGGGTAACCTCAAATTCCCTATATAATTGATTTTACTGCCTCTTCAGCTTGAGTGATGGGACAATAGGCATATACCACTATGAATGGTGGAGTTCATTCTTTTGCGTGTATATGCAGATGTTCATGTGTGTGTATGTGTGTGTGTGCGTGCACACACATGAATCTGTGCTGGTTCATGTGTGCATTAGGTGTTTTGCCCACCACTTTATTTTTTGAGACAGGGTCTTTTGTTGAGCCTGAGTTCACTGATTCACCTGGCCTGGTTGACCAGCAAAGCCCCAGGGATCCTCCTACATCTGGCTCTGTAGCACAGGGATTAAGCACAGTTATTGGTGTGCTATACATGGCTTTTCCTTGTGGTTGCTGAGGACTGAGCTCAAGTCCTCATGATTTCACAGCAAGCACTTTGCCAACTGAGCCAACTTCCCAATGCCTCCCTTCTTGCTTTTATTTCTTGACCCAAGTCTCTACTCTCGAGACACTGTGCCTTTTGTCTCGTTTGGAGGTGCCCGGGTTAAACTCGTGGGAGACAGGGAAGCTCCGCACCATTGCCTACAGTCTCAGACCTCAGACCTCTTCATAACCTCTGTAAATGTTTCTTCACTACCAGCGTAACATTGTATACTCAAGTGGGAAAAGGTAAGCAATGAATGCCATTAAGACTTTTGTTAAATTCAAAATGTAATTATTACAATTTTGTGAACAAATAAAAATTATGCTAAAACTGATTTCAATGAAAATTTATATCCCCACTTACTGCCCCAAATTTATGTATGCCTAAAAGGAATTATGAAAATTCAAGATGGAAACTGTCATGAAATTTGGAGAGAAATATATCACTGCAAATGAAAAGAGAAACTCTTCTCTTAAAACTATGTTTATCAAGCAAAGAATGCCAACCTTCTCTTGTACCGTCGGCTGCAAAGGTTGGATTTTTCCAGATCCTTGTAGAGACTGCCAAATGTTGCAAAATTCATCATCACTTTTTGCAGGTACCTAGTAAATAAACAAAAATTTATATAATATTAAAAAAACTGTTTATTAAAATTATAGAACGATAAATAGGATACTTAATTTTCACTATTTGAACTTCCCAGTTTCCCTGCTCTGGAGCTGAGTGTAGTAATTGCTAAAGCACCATACTGAAATGTAACTTGTCTTCATAAATATATGGTTCTAAATGGTTTTATTGAAAAGTACTTAAGCCCAAGCCAACTATACCATAAAGACAATACATATAGGTGGGCATATAAAGATCATGAGTTTGAAGTCAGCCTCAGCTATGCAACAAGAATGAAGCCAACTTGGGCTTATGTGAGACCTGTCTCAAACATGCCTTCAAAGGATGATATAAAAATATCCCCACCAACAGGTTTATTTTTTGTTTTTTAATGTGCTAAACTATTAACTTACTCAATCTTACACCTAAAGCCTTTATTTGAAAACCTTCACCTTTGCTGGCCTATGGCACATACCTAGAATCCCAGTATTTGGGAGGAGGTGGCAAGAACACAAACTCCAGGCCAACCTGAGCTACCCAGTGAGACACTGCCTAAAAACAAACAAATCTCCATCTTACACAGAAACAACTTAATAAATTTAAAAACTAGATACAATATGCTATTGGTTTCATGCAGATTAAGACTGGAAAAACATACACCAAAACTTAACACTGTGCCAGTAGGGGTGGCATCTGCCTTTAGGCCCAGCACTTGGGAGGTAGAAGCAGAGGCAGGTAGAGCTCTCTGTTCAGCCTTATCTAGTCTATATAACAAGTTCCAGGTCAGCCATAGCTGTAAAGGAGACCCTGTTCAAAGCAAACAAACCCCCAAAAAAGAAAAACTTAATTGTGGTTACTTGTGTAATTGGAGAGAAATTTGCTTGTGTTTATTAACATTTAATTACCTGTTTTTTCAAACTGCTTTACAATAAACATATATCAGTTTTGCAAGGATAAATGATAGATGGCATTTATGCTAAAAAAATAAGACTGAGTCTAAGACTTGAAACCATGGAATTAAAACTGTCTCATAGACAATAACCTGGTTTTTATACTCAGAAAGATGAAAAACAATCATGAAATGCATGGCAGGAATCTGGAACTTGCTTCTTGTTAGGTTTGCACAGGAGGGCCTCAATCTCATGTGGTGGAGGATGACCTCAATTGTCAGATCCCCCTGCCTCCAATTCCCATGCACCAGGATTATAGGTTTGTGTCACTATATCCAAGCTTGAAATTTGTTTCTGATGAATATGACATAATTATCTCCCCATTATGGTTCAAATTTATTGTCACTCATAAGAGGTATCATAGGACATTTAGATGACATGAGAAATTTAAGTATTTTGCTAGTCGGCTTTATGTCAATGAAAAAGACAGTCATTTGGGAAGAGGGGCTTTCAATTGGGAAAATGCCTGGAGGCAAATCTGTAGTGCATTTTCCTGACTGGTGACTGATGTGAGAGGGCCCAGCTTAGTGTAGGCAGTAGCACCTGTGGGCTGGTGGTCCAGGGTGCTATAAGAAAGCAAACTGAAGCTGGGCAGTGGTGGTGCACGCCTTTAATCCCAGCACTTGGAAGGCAGAAGCAGGTAGATTTCTGTGAGTTCAAGGCTCTAAAGAGCAAGCATCAGGACAGGCTCTAAAACTACACAGAAACCCCATTTTGAAAAACCAGGAAAAAAAAAAGCAAACTGAGCTGGGTGGTGGTGGCACATTCTAGGACAGCCTGAACTAGGACTGTAAGTTCTAGGACAGCGAAGGCTACACAGAGAAACCCTGTTTCCAAAAAGCAAAAACCAAACCAAACCAAACCAAAACAAACAAAAAACAGAAAGCAAACTGAGCAAGTTAGTAAGCAGCACTCTTCCATGGCCTCTACATCAGCTCCTCCCTCCAGGTTCCAGCCCTGTTCAATTTCCTGTCCTGACTTCCCCTGACTTCCCTTCACTAAGACATGGAACTGTAAGCTGAAATAAACCCTTTCCTCTCCAAGTTTCGTTTGGTCATGGTGTTTTATCACATTTTATTAGAAATCCTAACTAAAACAAGTATCAATTACAAAATAAATACATTAAGATACTAATAGTACCAAGATATTCATTTTGTTTGTCTTTGGTATAGGACCTAAGTATGTAGCTCTTCAGGAACACAGCACATGTGGTCAGGACGACATTCTTCTTTAACTTTCTAAGTGCTCAGATTAAAGGTGTGTGTATCTAGCCTGGGAGTAGTGGCACAAGCCTTTATTCCAGCACTTGGGAGGCAGAGGCAGTTGGATTTCTGAGTTCAAGGCCAGCCTGGTCCACAGAACTAGCTCTAGGACAGCCAGGGCTACACAGAGAAACCCTGTCTCGGAAAAATAAAACAAAGCAAAACAAACAAACAAACAAACAAACAAAAAGTGTGTGTTGTGTGTATTTTTATATCAGGCTCCATATCATTTTTTTTTAAATCGAAAAAGAAAACTCAGTCAAATGAAGCTTCCACTTAGGAGTTCTCTATGATTTCTGGTTTGCAGAGAGTGAAGAGGAATCAAGAGTGAGAAACTTACTTGAGTAGGGACAAAAAGTGACTGAGGAGAATGGTTGAGGCCTCCCAAGTGCCCAGATGCAGCCGATGAGTTTGAGTTGCAGTAATTCACAGCAGGCTGTGGCTTCACAATGGCTGTCAACTTCTGATTTCCAGTTTCGGATCGGCTCCCATGAGAAAGGTTCACCAAGGCACTTGTTGGCAGTCGGTAACCCCTACCAGGTGAGCACCTACAATTAAAAGGTTAGTTTAGTGGTGGGTCTGGTTGTATAGGCCTATAATACTAGCGATTGACAGGAGAAAGATCAGGGGTTCCAAGTCATCCTCAGATACACAGGTGGTTCAAGGCCACCTGTACTACAGAGTAAGACCTTGCTTCAAAAAATGGGGAAGAAAAGCAAAAGCAAAAAACAAAAACAGAAAATGCAATTCATGGTTTACTACTGATTCTACATTATAAAAGTCCTAATATGCAGGTAATCTTTCACACAGTTCTCTACCAGATGCTCTTAACTAGGACTAGGAGAAAAGACATCTGGGAAACAACAAAAACAAAAACAAGCTGGGCATGGTGGTACACGTCTGGAATCACAGCCCCGGAGAGGCTGAGGCAGGGACAGCAGATGTACAAAGTCAGCCCTGGCTGCATTTCAAATTTGAAACTAGTTCGCTAGATGAAACCTTTTGTTAAAGAATTACAAGAATAAAAAAGAAAACAAAACCCAAAACCTAAAACATACAGGAGTATTCTGACTGTGTACTGGCCATGGCTGTCTGTCATTTCTGCATTTGGAATGCAGAGGAAGGAAGATCTTGAGTTTAAGGCCAACTTTGACCAAGACCTTGTCTCAAAACAAACACACATAATAGAATATGAAAAGTCATGTAACATATATATTAAATATATATGCAGCTATTGTGCAAAGGATAGTTATGACCAAACAGTTAAATTCTGTTGCCACATTTGAAGAGAAAAAACTGGAAGGTCCTAGAGGAAGAAGCATATTCAAGTTTTAAAACAATGAAAGTGCTGTTTCGGCCAGTGGTTTAGCAGAGTAAAGTCAGGCTGGAAATCTGAATAGAGATAGAGTAGGCAGAGTTGAGGAGATGCCACGTAGCCACTAAAGGAGAAGGAAGCCAGAACATTTCCTGTAGGCCATAGCCTTATGGCGATACACAGATGAATAGAAATGGGTTAATTTAAGATGCAAGAGCTAGCTAAGAATAAGTCCGAGCCATCAGCCAAACAGTGTTGTAATTAATAAAGTTTCTGTTTGATTATTTGGGTCTGTGCATCCAGGAAACGGAAGTGCAGTCTCTATTTACAAAGTTTTCTATTATTATTGAGTGTGAAAATGGGCACAAGGTCAGAGCACAACATTATGCAATTGGTTCTTTCCTTCATCTTTGCTTGTATCCTGGGGACAGGACTCATTGTCATGTTTGCACAGCAACCACCTATATCTACTGCTTCATCTAGCTGGCCCACTAATGGCATCTTGTAGAAACCACTCAGTAGAGACTTAAGATTTTAATTATTTATTATTTTGTTTTTCAAGACAGGGTTTCTCTATGGCTTTGGAGCCTATCCTGGAACTAGTTCTTGTAGACCAGGCTGGCCTCGAACTCACAGAGATCTTCCTGCCTCTGCCTCCTGAGTGCTGGGATTAAAGGTGTGTGTCACCACTGCCCGGCTAGACTTAAGATTGTATATCAGGAGGCTAAACAAGAGTAGCTTTAAAATTATAATTACCCACTAACCAAAACACAGACACAAAGGAAATGAAGTTCACGCCAGCATCGCAGTTACATTTTAGAAAGAAAAGCTGGAAAAGGATTCTATTTCTTCCTCCCAATATTCTAGCAATCTTTATTACAAAGTCTCAGTGATAGATTCATCCTAACTAGTGTCTCCTGTAACTTTAAACTTCCTGATTTGTAAACTTAAAGTTTGCATTAGAGCTTCCTCAAAATGACACCATCTTCCATTTGTTTTGAAAGAAGAGCGACTCTTCTCTATGGCTTTAAACCGAAAACTTCCAATGGTTGCTTTTGCCCTTCAGAGCCAAGTTTCCTTTCTCCATTACTAGATTGCCATTTACTCCTCAAAACACAGACTGTGTCTGGCTAAGCATCTACAACTCCACTCCATTAGACGATGAAGACACACGTCACTGGACTCAGTGGTTTAGCGAGAGAAATCTCTCTGCTGTAGGCTCTAGCCTGTCCTCCCGAGCGTCGCCCAGTCAGCCACTACTCATGAGCTTGTCACATTTAAATTAACTAAGACAGTCAGTTGCTGAATCTCCTTTGTTGAAATGAAAACTTCAGAGGGCAGACAGAATGTCTGTTTTATTCACTGCTATAACACCAGGATCAGCTATGTTGTCAAACTGTGGGCTTCAGAGCGACACAAAGTCTGAAAGCCTGTATGTCTACTCACAAAGTACACTTATTATCTGGAATACAAACCTTATTGTTAAGCCTCCAGGAAATTCTTCATCAAATAATACTTCAAACAGCACGTCAGCTTCTCTGCTAGCTGTGAAAGAGGAGAGAGGGGTCAGACTGGTAACCAAACAACAAGAAGCTGGCAATAAGTTCTTAAGAGGGCTCAGACGCATTTGTTTATTTCAAAAGTTCACAAAAACATTTTAAATATGAACAACACAAATGCCTTAGAAGACCATCATGTGCTTATTCCCTGAAAGGCAACTACAACTTTTACCTTGGCAATTTGGTTTCCTATATATATCTTTAATCTATGGACACATCTGAAATAGTGTACAGTAGTGTTTTGAAAGTGTTAAAGCAATACACACACACACATATAAATATATAAGGGAACACACTAATGTAACACACTTGTGTTTGTTTTAAAATTATGAAATTCATTCCTGTTTCCTGAATATACCTCAGTATTTCTTGTATTCTATACAAGAAATGACTATACCGTCGCTTATCTGTTTCCTCTGCTAATGGACATGTAGTTTTTAATTTTTGCTATTATAAAAATGCTATTATGAATATCACATAAATGTGTCCTTTATGTAGTAGGCTAATCCTTCCCTAGAAATGAAATTACTAGGTATTAGGAACTGCATTTAAAATTTTTTTAATTGAAATTGGAATATGATAAATTTTACATATTTAAACTATGTATAATGTAATAAATTTTACCATATATAATTAAAGAAGCCATAATAAATGGGATAGTTATTCTCAAAGTCTGTGTCATTTTGTAATGCACACCTTATTAATCAGAAAACTATTAAAACACTGTTATTATAGACTAGTGTATATATCTAAAATTTTATTTAAATAAGATCATATAGCTTATATTCTTTGTTGTTTGGCTTCTTTTTAGCACAATTATTTTGAGAGCCGTTCATTTTGAATGTATTGTTTTCTTTTTGATTGTTGAGAAGCATTTCCTTACACAGCATCCAGTTTATTCATTCACTTACTGGCAAGCATTTGGATTTTTCTTATTTTTGGTCATCACATAAGGCTTAATGTAAATTCAAGTCTTATTTTCTCCTGGGTTGGTATCTAGGAATGGAATGACTGAGCCATACGGTGTATACTCAAATTTTAATAACTTATCATAGCTGCTGAAATGATCTGATTAAAACCTCCAGGCTCAAATGGTAGAAAGAATGATTACCACAAATTATCTTCTGACTCTACACACACACACTATGACACCCAAGTGAGCATGCACACAACCCCCTCCACACACACACACACACACACACACACACACACACACATGAGTAAAGAAAAAGAAACAAAGAAAAGAAAAAGAATTTATTGAAACATCTGCAATGCTAGCAGTTGGGAGATTGAGGCAAGAGGATGCTAAATTTGAGATCAGCCTGTGCTACATATTATGTTTCAGAACAGTCTTGGCTGCATAAGCAAGGCCATGTCACAAATAAAGGAAACAAAAAAAGCCAGACATGGTAGTGTACAAACAAATTCCAACACTTGGGATGTGAATGGGCAAAAATCATGAGTTTGAGGTTCACCTAGGCTATGAAGAGACTATGTTGAAAAATAAATATACCACTCTTCAATTAAAAAAAAATTAAAGGACCTACCAAACTAGTTTTCAAAGTGGCTATATCCACATTCTCACTGCCATGGAGTTCTAGTCACTCCATGGCACTGCTGCCACCTGGACACTTCCTTATTTTCTTTCTTTTCATCCTTCCTTTCTCTTCTGAGGTGAAGGCTGATGTAGCCCAGGCTGTCTTTGAACTCACCATGTAGCCAGGGATGACCTTGAACTTCTGTTCCTATTGCCTCTACTTCTGTGTTTACCTGTGGTGCTAGAGACTGAACCAGAGCTTTACCGCACACTAGGAATGCAATCTATCAACTGAGCTGCACCACAACCCCCTTTTCAGTTAAGTCAGTCCAGCTGGCTCCCACAAGTTGTCCTGACTTCTACATGTACCCATACACAATGTGCACATGGGCAGTAAGTCACTAAGTTTCTCTACAGCTTCTGCCTCCAGGTTCCTACACGGTTTGAGTTCCTGTCTTGGACTCCCACAGTGAAGTACAACTTGGGATAAGTAAGCTAAATGAACCCCATCCTCCCCATGTCGCTTTTGACCATCAGAGCAATGAAAACCCAGAGACACTCAAGTTCTCATGAGTTCTCGGGATGGAACTTGGGTCCTTATGCTTACTAGCAAGCACTTACAGACTATCTCTTTATCTCTACTTTCTTATTTTTCAGACAAAATCTCATTCTGTAGCCTAGACTGGCCTGGAATTCTCTATGTATCCAAGGTTAGCCTTGGACTTGTGGTAATCCTACTGCTTCAGCTTACCAAGTACAGACCACCACTGGCTATGATCTAGTTGTATTCCTAAAGGTAAATTAATACGCAAAATCATCTAAAATTTTTTCATTGTAAACAACATAGTATTTATTTTGAGAGATTTCTAGATTACCAGGCTTATTCAAACCTATAAGTTATAATGCAAATAAAGGTAAAACTTATGACTAATATTGGTCAAAAGTTTCAGATATCATAAAAATTTCCTTTAAGTTTCATAAAAATGTAAGTATGCCTCTAAGACCTTGTTTTATTGTGATGTACATAAAGCACCAAGTTACCAACTTCCCTCCATTCATCCACTTCTCAGATGACTATGTGAAAGATAAAAAGAAAATTTTCTCTGGAAAGAACAATCAAAAAAGTAAAAGCACTTAAAGCATACAAGGATTTAGCTTTTTCTCTGATGAGTTTTCTGCTTAGATGCATACGACACACAAAACTATGTGCTACTTCACAACGTGAACGCAACTGGAGTCTTACCCCCTTTAATTCCAATGATGGTGCCCCGGAGGCCGACTGGCACTGAGAAGCTCTCTCTCACGTTTACAACACGATCAAACAGACGGAACTCTGCATCCCGATCAGGGATGACTCCATGCTGCTGCTCTAAGGGCTGAAAAGAAGAGAGCATGTGTTCTAAGCAAGAAAAGGCCTCATCACACTGGAGACTGTTTGTTTGCGGAGGCATGGTCTCATGAGCCCAGGCTGAAAGCAAACATCCCCTACAGCCTCAGCCATCCCCTAGAAGAGCCAGCACCCTTCTGACTGTCTCCTGAGTGTTGTTATTACAGACATGCCACCATGCAGGCTTGAGACAATGCGTGTTTCCTATATATCTTCAAAGCAACAGCAGCAGCTTTGGATTCCTCTACAGACACTTACTCTGTACAGCAGGTGGGGCTTCACTGTCACTCGTACTTTCTTATTACTCTTTCTTTGCTGAAGAAGAAAAAAATACAAATAGGAAATTATAAAATCATTCACCAGTTCCACCATCTATGAAATTTACAAAGCCAAATAAAGGTATTAATTTTAAGAATATCTAAGGTTTTGCACCTGTAGGAGTGAAATAAGATGAACACAGCCTAAAGTCTAAAATATTGTTATTTTAGATATGTGTGGAGCTGGTTCTCTCCTTTAACTTTATAAAGAACCCAGAGATCAAACTCAGATCATTGGGTGGCAAGTGCTTTACTATGGGACAATGAATAGTCTTGTAATACCCTGTAAAGATCTGTCACTTATATAGGTTTAGTAACAGTAGGCAGGCAGGAAGTCTAGGTGGGGCGACCAGAATATGAGAATTCTGGGAAGAGGAAAGGCTCAGGCTGCAGTCGTTACCCAGATGCAGAGAAAGCAAGATGAGAATGCCTCACTGATAAAAGGTACAAAGCCACAAGGCTAAACACAGACAAGAATTATGGGTTAATTTAAGATGTAAGAGCTAGCTAAAAATATGGCTAAGCTATTGACCAAACAGTGTTATAATTAATATAGTTTCTGTGTTATTATTTAGATCGGGGAAGCCAGGAAACAAATGAAGGAAGTCTCTGCTTAAAGCTTTTTACCTGTTAAGTCATCTTGCTGGCCCTAATTATTTTTGAAGTAGGGTTTCACTATAGAGACTTGGTTGTCCTGGAACCTTCTATGTAAACCAGGCTAATCTTGAACTCATTGATATCCATTTGCCTCCAAAATGTTGGTATTAAAGGTATATGCCATGGCCCTAAATTCTTACTTATAAGTTTTAAAGTAGAATATTTAAATTATATTTAATTATTTTTATTTTTAAAATTTTTGTGTGCATGCATGTGAGTATGTGTCATGGCTGATAAATGGAGGTGTGAGGACAACTTGAAGATGCCAGTACTCTTTCACCATGTGGGTCCTGGGGCTCAAAACTCAGTTCACTGGACTTGAGGGCAAGACCGTCTACCTACTGAGCCAGTTCACTGGTCCCAGTTAACTGTTTTGATGTATAAAACAGAAAAATTCAAAGTTAGGAGTATACCGTGTATTATTATTTTAGACCACTCAAGTGCAGTAGTGAGGAGATATCAAGTTAACTTCATAGCATGAGTACATGAGCGGGTCTAGACAAAGTCTCCTGCCCAGTGCTGGTGGCCGAGTTCATGTCCTTAGTGGTGCTAGGGGAGCACTCTACCTGGAGCTGTAGCCCAGTCTTGCTGTGAGTACATCTAACGTGTAACTCTGTTCAACCCAAGAAACAAGCTTACTATGTAAACCATAAGAAACTTACTTTTGCCATGTGGTGGTGCATGCCTTTAATCCCAGCATTTAGGAGCTGGAGACAGAGGCAGGCAGATCTCTGAGTTCGAGGCCAGTCTAGTCTACAAGAGCTAGTTCCAGGATAGCTAGGGTAGTTAAACAGAGAAATCCTGTCTCAAAAACAAACAAAGAAACCCCTTACTTTTAATACAGAAGATTATATATATATAATATATACTATATATATTATATATATATATATATATGATTTATTTATTTACTATGTATAAAATGTTCTGCCTGCAGGCCAGAAGAGGGCACCAGAGTTCATTATAGATGGTTGTGAGTCACCATGTGGGTGCGGGGAACTGAACTCAGGACCTCTGGAAGAGCAGTCAGTGCTCTTAAGCTCTGAGCCACCTCTCCAGCCTGGAAGATTATATTTTGTTTTGAACTTTATACATTTTTTTTCCAAAAAAGAATTATAAATAGTCAAGGAAAGTTTTTTTTTTTTTTTGAGGTAAGGTTTTACTGTGTAACCGGGTATCCTCAAATTAATGATGATCACCCTGTGTCAGCCTTTTGAGTGCTGGGATTACAGGCACCAATCACCATGCTATGCTAAGGAAGATTGATCTATAAAAACATTATCTGGGGCATGTGAGTGCTTACTCAAGTCTTAACCTTAGACCAAGTGACTCAGAACCAGGTAGTTTGCTTTTTTGTTTTTGCTGCAATAGACTGGAATTTATTTTGTCGGTTTAAAAGAAAATATAAACCAAAATAAACAATCAATCAATATTTACAAAACCCCTTCCCCCAAACATTGAGAGGAAAGGGGAAGGAAGCAAAGGAATGGATTCCTAGGATAAAATAACTGTTAAATAAAGTCTTTTCATTCTAACTTTGATAAAATAGATTTTCACTCCCAAGGTCACAAGATAGACTAAGCAGCTAACAGCACCAGCACTTTCAGTCTTTCAGGCAGCAGGGAGAGTAAAGATGGAAAGCCTGTGCTACAAGAGCAGGCTAGGCAGTGGTAGGAGTTGCAGTGAACCTCTGTAAGCTAGCCATAACTGTTCTGCTCCCAGGTTTCTGGTCATAACTACACTTTGTGGTCACATCTGGCCATGAAGGAGGTTGGGAAGTACAGCCTGGGAAATATACACAGGTGAAAACTTGTACTTTGTTACAGAACAAATAAAAAAATAGGTTGGTTTGGGATATAAAACTATGAGGAACCCCAGTCATACACATTCCTTTCTCTATGTGTACAGAACACTTTACTTCTCATAACCACGTGTTCCCTTTGACAAACTCCTGACCTGACCTGACACTCACACCTCTCGCAGTCAAGTTTACAAGAATCTCTAAAGGTCCAGTTACCTATAATTCTGGACAACTTAAAGCCAAAACTAATCCATTTCATACTGACAGAAAAGAAAAAAAGAGATTATTAAGCATTCTTTCTTAATAAATCATATCATATTACATATACAGATAAGTATATGTAATTTTGCTTTTAAACTTTATTTTAAAATTAATATTTTTTTAAATTTAAGAATAAATGAATAAAAACTTTTCTAAGTGATGGAGAAAAATAAATAAAAACAGTTCCTGGCCAAGAACAGTTATATGGAAGTGTGTCACTTCCTTGGCGTGGCTTTGAGCTTTAGAGTGTAGTTTCTCACATCACCTATTACGGTCCTGTCAGAACTTCAGATGGAGCACAGTGCAGCCTCGAGCTCAGGGAATGAGGCACTGTTCTAATGCTTTGCATAGGCTATCCTCTGCATCTCAGAACCAAACAGACCGAGCTTTCTGTTCCTTTCAATAGGGCCTTCATGGCTGGCCTGGAACTTGCTAAGGATGGGCTGGGTTGTACATTTATGGCAATTTTCCTGTAGCCACTTCCCCAGTGCTGGGACTGTAGGTGTGCACCACCACACTTGGCTTTTCAGAACCAGCACTTAACTAGATTCCATGGTGATTTACTTGTACCTTAAAGTTTAAGAACCACTGCTCGTGAGTGAAACCAGAATGTTTAAAAATGTTCTTTCAGTATGAGAACTATTATCTAGTAAGGAAAACTCACAATTTGTATTTGTGTGTGGTGTGTGAGGGATCCAATCCAAATCTCAGACCTGTAGGTAAGCACTCTACCACTGAAGCACGCCATTGTCTAAAAGCCCTGACACTCACTCTGTAGACCAGGCTGGCCTTGAACTCACAGAGATCAGTCTGACTCTGCCTCCTGAATACTGGGATTAAAGGCATGCACTACCACTGCTTAGTTAAGAAGTTTCCATCATTTTCAAAATGTTGTATGTAATTTTTTCTTCTTTTGTTATTACTCTAATACCACACTAAAACCTAATTACACTCCTTTCACACACAAATATACTTTAAATTCTTGTCTTTTGATATGCTTATGGTATAATAAAAAAATAAACTATAATTTTGTACATACATCTTATGCTTGTAAAATAAAGAGTAAATATGGTTGTGTTGTATGTGAATATATGAATGAAGGCATATATGAGAGTGTGTGCCTACAGACACACATGGGGAGACCAGAGGAGGTCAGATATCCTCCTCTATCATGCTCTGCTTTAGACTTTGAGACAGGGTATCTTCCATAAGCCTGAAGCTTGCTCTTCCCTTTACAACCCCCACCCCCAACTAGACTGGCAGCTAGCACACCCCAGAAATCCTGTCTGTCTCCTAACCGCACTTTTCCCCCAACACTCCCATGCAATGGTGGAGTTTCGGGCATGCCTGGCCTTTTATAAGTGAGTACAGGGTTTCTGAACTCAGGTCCTCACCCTTGTACAACAAGCAGTCCTATCCAGTAAGTCATCTTCCTAGTCCTGCTTTTATTTTTGAGACAGTGTCTCACTCTAGCCCTGGCTGGTATGGAATTCCCTAACACAGACAAGCAAGGCTGGCCACAGCCTAGTGCAATCTTCTTATGACAGCCTCCCAGGTTCTGGGATCACAGATGGGAGCACCATACAATCCTTTGCATCCAAATGAACTCACTGGCCTGAAAAAAGTTTCTAAGTATTATTTTTATTTTATGTATGTATAGATGTTTGCCTACAGGTATGTAAGTATATCACATGCATGCACTGTCTGATGAAGGCAGAAGGGGAAGTTGGATGTTCTGGAACTGAAGTTATAAATGGTTTTGGGCCACCATGTGGGTGCTGGGAACTGAACCCAGGTCTTCTCTAAGAGCACAAAGTACTTTTAACCATGGAATCACCTCTACAGTCCCTGCTCTGAATAATTAAATTGTTAGGATTGAGGATGTTAGCTCAGTGGTAATGTCCTTGCCTAATTCACAGTATTGAAAACAAAACATGGCACAAGACAACTCTCTTGGCTGTGAGCCTATTAACTTTCCTTCACATAAAAAAAGTCATGCAGTTGTGGTTTCTGTGGCTCTCGCCACAGCATCTCAGTGTTTTCCACGGGAATCCAAGCACCACCACCGTTCATAGCAGCTGGGTACTGTGAGCACATTTTTTTTTTTTTTATTTTCTCTCGAGACAGAATTTTTTTGTGTAGCCTTGGCTACCCTTGAATTCACTCTGATTCTCCTACCTCTGCTTCTGGAGTGGTGAGATTATGGCCATGCACAACCATACTTGGTTTGATGTGGTGCTGGGATAAGATCAGGGCTTTATGTATTCTAGGAAAGCTCTCTATCAACTGAGACACATCCCAGTCCTGAAGAGAACACATTTTATTCCAGCTGATCTTATTGATGATCATAATTTATGAGGTGGGCATTATTTTATTACTGATTTATCAATGATAAAATGGAGGAATAAAAAAAATTAAAATACTGGAAAAGAATCTTAAGTTCATGGTGGTAGGAATGGCTCTTGAGACCAAGACTTAACTGATTTTGCTATTAATTCAAAAAGACAACCGTATTATCATGGCATCATTAACAAAAAGAGAAATTAAAGTTTAAAAAAATCAATATAACCAATCCACTGCTATTGCACCATTTATTTAAAAAGGATAAAATAGGTTAAGTCAACTATATGTTTGTTGCTTTGAAACAGCAGAATAGGAAAGTAGGAGACTAGTGTGGTTCTCTCCTTCCGACATGTGCACCCAGGGACTGAATTCATGTCATCAGGCACCTTTATCCACTGAGCCATCTCACCAGCTCTGAATTGTCTTTAAAGAATGCAATTACAATTTTAAGTAAGAGGAAATCATTATTATTTTTTATCCACAAACTTTCTACTGTAACTAGAGTTATAAACTTAGAAACATTACAAAGAAGCAAATTTAGAATTTATAGTTTTGGCAAATATATTTATATATATTATATACATAAAAATATTTACATATATTTAACTTCCTAATGGTTGCTGGAAACGCTATAGGATTATTCAGTATTACTGAGAATTATTAAGTATATACATTAGTTGGCCTGAAACATAGCTAAATGATAACATGTTGTCCATTTTAACTTATCAGTAACTATGGTTACTGAAAGTTAGTACCTTGTACTTCTCAACTTCTTCCTCAATTTTTTCAACAATGGCTGCATCCAGAATGTGTAAATCACAAGAAGAGCGGGACAGAGTGCTGACAGGATGTCCTTTTAGCCAGGTAATAATTTCTTGAACCTTCTCAGCGCTACAATAAAAACAGTAGTCATTAGAATTGATTACAACCTTCTGAGGGTTTATATTAAAGATCTGATAAATACTTTCTGGGAACTATAAATTATCAGATTTAAGAAATTAAAGCAAAATTAAAACAATAAAAAACAAAAGCTACATTGCTGAACTTCCAAATGGAAACCTGGAATTGAACTGCAGGGCAATAAGTACCACAAATCTTGCTTACCCATTCTCATTTTCCCCAGGCCAGATGTCATCCTCATAGAACACATCCTCTTGGCTGTTTTTGGCTATATAACTAAACAGTTCTGGTGCTCTAGTCAACAAAGAAATAAAATGTTGCTTTAAAATATGCAGTTTTCTTCACATAACTTCCAATTAAGTGATTTTGGATTCTAATGGGGACATGTAGAATATAGTGAGAATTATTATAGTATTATTGAGGAGCAGTATTAATAAGGAATGAGACTAAAAGTTTTGATAGAATATTCCTATAGCTCCAAGAAAATTTCCAACAGCTGAGAGAGAAATAGGTCAATTACTTAAAAAAATCCAATTATGACTTGGATTCTTTTTTGATTAAAATATGAGGGAGTAAGAGAAGGATGGAAGGGGAGTGGGGGAAAATGTATAGCTCAATTAAAAACAATAAAAAAATTAAAAAACATGAGGGAGTAGATGCACAAAAATAGTATTTGTGAGGTCATTTTTGTTTTTTTCTTTTGGGTTCCTATGCAACCCAGGCTAACCTCAAACTTATAATCCTCCTGTGCCAGCTTCCTCAGCGCTGGGGCAAAAACTATGTTACAATAATATCTAGGTTTTAAAAGTTAATTTTCTAATTTTTATAACAAAGCTAGACCATTTCATAAAATAGCAAATTAAAACAGTTTACAGATTTCTTCTGATATTCTTCAAAATTATATTCATTTTGGAATCATGTACATCCAAGAAGATTAAACACATCTTTGTTCCTTCCCCAATTCACTAGAATAACAATGAAGTAGGAAGTTGGACATAGACCAGAAAGAGAAATGAAGAGAAATGGGTGCAATGCCCTGTGATCGGGGAACAAACTTTTAGACATCAGACACTGGACGGATGAGGTTCGGCTGAACTGATGGACAGGAATAAGCAGAATAAACAAATAGGGCAAGCTACAAGATGACAGAGTAGTTGCCAATCACAGAAAGGTCACAACACTCTGGTCTAGCATTTCATGAGCTGTATGAAAAGCAAGTTTCTTACTCCCAGGTCAGTTTCTCACTTGTGAACTGCTTTTTAGCCACGCACAAATAAACTTACACAAATGAAAAAATAGGTAAACAAAAAAGTCCAAGTTTTTTTTTTCAACCTGTAAACACTTAGGAATTATGGGCTTCAGGCATATTAAAACAGCATTTACACTGAAAATGTGTATAGCAAGCTGTAGTAATATCTCATTTGTATTTTAATAAATAAAGCTTGCCTGAAGTTCAGAAAGTAAAAGAGCCCCACTGGTCAACCTTACATACCAGGTAGTGATTGACACACACCTTTAATCCCAGTAGCCACACTAGTTTGCCATAGAAACCGAGTGTTAGTGGTGCACACCTTTAATCCCAGCACTAGAGAGGAAAATAAGATGGGAGGAGACAGCTCTCAGACACAGTCTCATTCTGAGATTCCTGGAGGCAGGATTGCCATTTCAAACTGAGGTCAAGGTAAGAGCCAGTGGCTGGCTGCTTTGCTTTTTGGATCTTCAGGTTGAACCCCAGTTCCTGTCTCTGGGTTTGTATTAATCGTGCTGCATCAAGCAGTTGGAATAGTTGTTTACTTGGCTTCTACCCATGCATTAATACCTGCAGCTGTATTTTAGATGGGTCAGCCAAGAAATACCCTGCTTTGATTATACCAGAGACAGAGAGCTTCAGGGAGTAGGGGTGTTGCAAGGGGCAAAGGTGAGGTGCTGTGCTGTATGTGGGATTCATGCACAGGTAGATACTACAGAGCAAGTCAGGAGCATCACATGTCTAGGAAGCAGACTCTGAGAGGGAGACAGACATGTAGAAGTTTAGTGGGGATACTCATGAAATCAAAACATGTGGGAAGGGAAAAGAAAACAAGCAGAACTGGGCAATGGAAACAGAAAACGTTGAGCTGTAAATTTTTCTCAGTGAATTTCTTGGCCAGTCCCACAAAGACCTCAAACTGGGTTAGCCCTTCATATTTGTCCTGGCCTGGTTGCCTTTCCTTGTGTTTCTCCCTACATTGTGGAAAGGGAACATGACCCTAGGTGAGGCAGTTTTCTTTACCCACAAGATTATGGAAGAGATCTTGAAGGTGGGGGGCTGTTAGCAGCATCACTACTATTAGGGAAAAAGATCCTTCAATCTAAGAAAGATCTGGGGTGGGTGGGAAGTAATCACAGAATCCATGAGGCAACAAAAACCCATTTTACCTGGTTAATTTACAGAATACTAGCAGTCAGTTTTGTTCCTTACATCCATCATGCAAGGAAAAGGCTAGAAGATACCTCTCTAGGAAAAATTAGTCAGTTAGAGAGAAGATATTAGAAGGTCAGTTTTAGAAATAGTAACATCCCATGTGATAAGCCCAACCCAAGTGCACTAAATTCCCAAGATGCTTTTTGGTACATCCATGTTCAATACAGACACCAATAAGCACTAGAAAGTGGAGAAAAAAAAATCCCTACCATAAAAGGTGAAATAAGTCAAATAGAGGAGAAAAAATAATTTGGAGAAAATGAAATCAAAAGAAGACATTCAGGTGGCTCACAACCACCTGGAACCAGGGGATCTGATGCTTTCCTCTGGCCTCTGCAGGTTTCCACAAAATTATGGGACACACGATGTATATACAGACACATTAATTACAAGAAAAAGACATTCCAGTCACACACACACACACACACACACACACACACACACACAATGCTGATGCATGCCTAAAATACTACCTCTTAGTAGGCTGAGGCAGGAGAATAACAAGTTTCAGGTCAGTCTGTACTCTTTTAAGTTTAAGACCAGCCTGGAGGGGGAGAGGGAGCCATACTGGGAAATCTCATCCTTAAAAACAAAACCAAAAACCCAAACCAATCAACCAACCAGCCAACAAAAACATGATAAAATTGAAGACGTATACTGGGGTAGGACAATACAGAAAAGGGATGGGAAGAAGAGAACAAAGAGACAAAAGGATCAATCTAGGAAAGAACAGAAAAAAAAAAGTTGATTTTATCAATTATTAAAGAAACATCATAATGCAATCTCCCAGAATGTTATCTAGATTATCAGATAACATTATGTTAATAAGCTATCAGTTCTGGGGGCTAACCAAGAGAAGAGATGGGGGAAAAAATCTGTACCAAGGTACATATCATCAAAGTCAACAGAATTGACAGGGTCCAGAAAATGAAAATAGGTCATCAAGGGGATGGTTTACAGGTTAAGAGCACTGGCTGTTCTTAAAGAGGACCAGGGTTCAGTTCCCAGCACCCAAATGACGACTCACAGTCGTCTGTGACTCTAGTTCCAGGGGATCTGATGCCCTCTTCTGACCTCTAGGGGCTCTAGGCACATAATAGTGCACAGGCATACATGCAGACAAAACATTCATACACACAAAACAACCTAAAACAATAATATCTTTAGAAAAAGGAAATAGATCACAATACAAAGAATTGAATCAGAACTCACAGGATTTGTCAGTGACAACAAAGGAGACAAGAAAAGAATGGAGCAGGGCTTTCAAATCCTGGGTGAAAAGAATCTCCCGTCTAGGACTCTCTACCTAGACAAGCTACAACTAAGGTTGGAAAAAGAAAAAAAGTATTTCTAGACACAAAGTCCCCCACCCCTACCCCAAGAGGCTACTGGACTAAATGTACCATCATCATGGGGATATAAAGGTTAAGAAATGGGAGCTGGAAAATGAAAGACTCTGTATGGGGCCATAGAGGCAGTGTCTCTGGACTGAAGGCTGGCAATAAGCTAAGAATCATATGTAGACAGAAGTTTAAAGGTTCTTGAAAAAATAAGGGGGGGGGAATACTGTGAGATAATGCTCTTGTACACTGTAAAGATTTGTCACTCATATTCGTTTAATAAAAGGCTGATTTAGCCAGTAGTCAGGCAGGAAGTATAGGCAGGACAACCAGACTAGGAGAATTCTGGGAAAAGGAAAGACAGAGTCAGTCTTAATAAATAATATTAATAATTAGTAATAAGTCTGAGCAACAGGCCAAACAGTTTATAATTAATATAAGCCTCTGTGTTTATTTGGGACTGAATGGCTGTGGGACTGGGTGGGACAGAAACTTCTGCGTACAATCACCAGCTTCAGCTGACGTAGAGACCAAAGGCTTTAGAACACAGATGGAACTGAGCAAAGCCCTAATGTGTTTGGCAGAATTTTTGGCTTAGTTAACACATATGTGTACAGACAATATCAAATAAAAAAAAAACCAGTGAAAATAAAAATGCAGACAGGGAAGAAAATGTGATCATAATACATGACATGGTCTAGCGTCACATATTCAGCATAATCATGGAAACCAAATTATAATAAAAACTGTATGAAATATATTCATGTCTATAGGGAACTGAGAGACGGAGGAAGAGCTGGAACTCAGGGATCCCTTTTACATCTGGAAATAATGGATATATGACAACTAGAAAAAAAGCAGTTTATTTTTTGTTGTTCTTCAGACCAAACCCAGAGAAAAGAAGTTTGAAAGCCGGACGGTGGTGGCGCACACCTTTAATCCCAGCACTCAGGAGGTTGAGGCAGGTGGATCTCTGTGGGTTCGAGGCCAGCCTGGTCTACAAAAGCTAGTTCCAGGGCAGGCTCCAAAGCTACAGAGACCAAAATCAAATAATAAAAAAAGAAAAGAAGAAAATGAAGTCTGAATGTAACCTTTTAAGAAAATAGAAATAAGGTAAAAAACAAGCTCAATTTTCATATGGCCATATGAAACTGAACTGTTCCCCTATCGCCTTCAAAAGATACAGAATCTCGAGCTGGGGGACGGCTCAGATTTGCTTCCTGACAATGTAAGCTTGACAACCTCAGTTAAATTCTTGCACCCATGTCAAGGTAGGAGAGAACTCCTGTGACAAGGTTGTCTTCAGACTGTCCCACCTACATAGTGGGACACACACCTCGCTAAGTATGTTTATGTGCACTCTCTTGCGCATGCGCACACTTCTACAGTAATAGTGAATTTAAAATAATATTTTAGAGTAGCTGTAGAAGATGACTTTATTTGGAAGTGGGGTTCTAGCAGAGACAACTATCAGAGAGGGCTCTAATCAAGTATGACTTTTATACTGTAAAAAGGAGAAATGAAGAGAGACACAGGTGAAAACTTAGGTGAAGACACATGGGGAGAGACTGTCACTTGAAGATAGAGGATTGGAATGATCAAGTCTACAAGCCAAGTAACACATAAAGGTACAGGACCATAAGAGAGCTAGGGGACTACAATCCTGTTGACACCTTGATTCTGGCTACTAGAACGGTGAGATATTAAGTTCACCTTGGTGAAACCAGCTAGTGTGTGGTACTTTATTATGAGAGCCCTTGGAAACCAACCCAGGAATCCTCAAAGACAAGGAGGACAGACCTCGGTGCAATAGTAGCAAGAACATTAAATTGTAACTCAGGAGTAAAATATTAACTATAACTCTAAGTAACTCAGTTAATAGTAAAAATGGTAACACATTCCCTATGGGATTATTAATGCAAATATGTTGTTGTACATTTTAATTTTTGAGACAGAGTCTCCCATAGCCCATAGCTGGCCTTTAAATGCATTACATAGGTAAGCATGGTCTCCAGTTCCTGATCCTTCAACCTTTACCTCCCTTGTGCTGGGGTTAGAGGTTGTACATGTTCCTCAAGAACATAACTTCCCTTTCACAATAAGCAGTGCAGGCCTGAGCTGAGAGGCGCTCACCTTTCCATGTACTCTGCCAGAAGCTGCTCCGCTGCCGAGGAGTACATCCACTCACTCCCAACTTTCTTTGTATAGCCAGGGACTTCCTCATTTTTCTTGTTGAATTTGAGATTTAAACCCACATTTGCTTTATGGTCTCCATGAGGGCTAAATTTAAACCACATATACACACAAGTGTTTTAAAATTTGTTCAAAATTAAAAGTTTTAGCTTTTTTTTAAATTTTTTTTTAAAAAAAACAGTACTAGAGATTAAATCCAAAGACCTGTGCATGCCAGAGAAGTGGTATACCATTTAGCCATCACCAACCCCAACAATTATTTTCAACTTTTAGAAAAGCTCAGTTCTCATTGTCCCACATCTTGGTTAGCATGGTTACTACTAATTAGTAGTACTTAAAATGCTACAGGGCAGGTTTTAAGAAAGCATATAAATAAATTATGTAATTATAAAAATGGAAAATAACAAAATTCACAGAAATAGATTCCCAAGGCTCACACACACCCTGATACCTTTTTTCAAGGTTAGCTGCTAGAAATATAAACTGACTTTGAAAACATCTAAAACATATGCTGTTCATGTAAAGGACCACCCTGGAGGAATTTATGGGCAACTTAGTCCACAGGCATTAATTGGAGAAAATCAATACCGGGATAATAAACATTTAGTCTCTATATTTAATTTTTCTGCTACTATAAGCAAATATCCCTAACACAAACTTACTTTCTCCTAGATCCTCTTCCAATAAAAATACTTCCTGTAAACCTTGAAACAAGGTATCCACTCACTCCAAGGCGACCGGCCAACACATATCCTGGGTTGTACTTTATAGAGTATTTCTTTAAATATAAAAATAGAGAGGTCAATTATGGAAACACATGTTTATATTAAGTACTGTCTGGTTACCTTTGAGAGCTGTAGATAATTAAGACACCACTGACAACATAAAAACACATGGTCCCTTGGACCCCCACCCTAAAGGACCTGAAAGCCCCCTCCTTTCTCTTTATAGCAATCTTTCTAAGGATGAAGGAGTAGGAAACATAGTTTGTAAATCTGTCTCAATAAATAAATTCTGTAAGCACTAAACAAAAAATTCTTCATACAATATTTTTTAAAACTAATTTTCATATTTTAAACAGAGATGGCTAGCAAGTACATGGAATAAAAGAAGGCTTCAAAAATTACTATACTGAAATTAAGCATAAGTACATCATAAAAAGAGTTGTAAGCAGTAAGTAAAAAATGTCGTTCATATATGAATGTAAGCAATTTTTTCCACTAATACTTACTATTATATGAAAGTCATAGTCAAATAAATGGAAATTTAATTTGTGTAGTTAATTAATATGAAATTAAGAAAAAGGGAAAACTGTGATCAGAATATATTGTATGAGAAAATCTATTTCAATTCAAAAAATAAAATATATCAAGCAATAGGACAAAAGAAGAAAAGACACACACAAAAAAGAAGTATCAGTATCAGATGGGGTAATTTTTAACTAGGTAGAAAACAATTTATAAATCCAATACCAACTAGCATTAACAATCATATCCACTCCTTATATCATGCATACAGAATTTTTGTTTATAGTCTAATACTTTGTAAGTTACATAGGATATATGAGAGACAGACCATTTCATGTAGCTCAGGTTGGTCTTGAACTTGCTATGTTCTTGAGGATAATCTTGAACTTTTGATCCTCTTGTCTCCACCTCCTAAGAGCTGGGATTATGGACTTGGGCCACTAAGCTGGTTTATGCAGTGCTAGGGACTGAACCCAGGGAGCCGCATGTAAGCAAAGCAGGCACTTTACCCAGTAAGCTACATCCTCAGCCCCACTAGTGTATAGTTTTACTTTATGCTCATAGATGAATATGGAAATATTTTCACCAACATAAAATCAGCCATCATTATTTCATTGATTATATGAAATTATATAATAATATAATGATGTCCAAATAGGTAACTGGTTTTGGTGGGCTGGAATATCAAATTATTATATAAAATATATGAACATGCTGGTAGAAAAATGTGGTGGTATAGATCTATAACCCTAATACTTAGAAGACAATGGCAGGACAATCAGGAGTTCAAGGTTATCCTTGGCTACTCAGTGAGTTAAAGGCCAGCCTGTGCTACATAAAATATTGTCTCTTCTCTCACACAGACACTCAGAACATGGTTATTCAACAAGAGTATCATCAGATTTAGAATAAAATACAAAACAAGTATGCTTTGCAAAACACATCAAATAATTAAGGTGGTATTTCTTAATTACAACAAATATCACTTTATTAATAAGCACTTTGAATGTGTAGAGGCATATCAGTTATGATAATTGGCATAGGTTACTAGCATTTAGAGCTTAGAGGCAAAATGTTCTATTTACATAGCTGCCATAGAAACAAGGGTCCTATTCCAAGTACTAAGGGTGCTCTGGGAGAATTCTAAGCTGCGCTGTAATTAAAAGTTAATTAAAATCAACAGTACCCTAGGAAACATAAAAAGCCTAGCTAAAACACCGGATAAGGAAAGTGAGGGTAAAAGGAGCAGCTTATATTCTCTTTTATACAGGGCCTCCAGCTTCTTCATCTAATGGGACACTGAAGCCTTCTGACCATGTCGTCCAATTCTCTCTATAGTGGAGAGCTGATGGTAAGATTCTTAGGGACACCTCTGCCTTCGTCACCATGTTCCCCCATGCGTATGCTGATTCTTAATACTTTAAGCCAGATCACAACAATACAAAATAAACACCAATTAATGTAATTTCTGCAACTTGTTTTTTTGCTAAACTTACATCCATGTATATCCTGTTTCAATGCTAGGGATTAAATCTGGGTACTTAACATGCTAGGTTGACATGAGTCTTGGGGAACAGATTTATACTTTATATTTTCAGTATGTGTGTGTTTATGAGTGGGCATGCATGTCACAAAGCATGTGAGGAGGAGAACCTCAGATGCCATCTTCTTGAGTTTTTTCTTTTGTCTCACTAAAGCATTCATTCAACTAGACTCAGTTGGCTGGCAAGCTAGCTCCAGAGGCCTGTCTTCCAGCAGTGGCATGTATAGCATTTGCTGTTGGTCCAATTTTTAAAAATTATTTATTTTTATTTTATGTGCATTAGTGTTTTGCCTGAATGTATGTTTTTCTGAGGGTGTCGGGTCTCCTGGAACTGGAGCTACAGATAGTTGTGAGTCACTGTGTGGGTGCTCTGGATAAGGAATCAGTGCTCTTAACCACTGAACCATCTCCAGCCCTCCCCCCCAGTCCAGTTTTCATCCATGGTATTGACGATATGAACTAGGGTTCTCATGCTTTATTAAAAATACTTTACTGGCTGAACTATCTCTCTAGCCCCTTCTATTTATTTTTAAATACTGAACTTAATTTTAAGTTGGCAGAAAAAAATATCTCAGCATTAAAAAATCTTACTCTAAACAATATTAACTATTGTACTTACATGCTGGTTCTGTATTAAAGCATCAAGGTTTGGTTCACATGGAATGCTGAAAACCACACGAATCCTACCTTCTGTAATCACGTCACCTGATTCCTGAACCTGGGGGAAGAGTAACCACACCATTTTAATCTTTAATTACATTCATTTATTTTTCTCCTTATTTGAATGATTCTCTTCTAAAATATAGTTTTTGTCATAAAATTAGACAGTGGAAATTTTCTTGTAATTTATAATAGGATTTTAAAATATTATAAAGCGAGTCATTTTATATTTGTTTTAATAGGTGCTAATCATATATAAAAATGAACTAAACTCGGCCGGATGGTGGTGGTGTACGTCTTTAATCCCAGCACTTGGGAGGCAGAGGCAGGTGGATCTATGTGAGTTTGAGGCCAACCTGGTCTACAAGAACTAGTTCCAGGACAGGTTCCAAAGCTACAGAAAAATCCTGTCTCGAAAAACCAAAACCCAACCCCCCCCCACCCAAAAAGAAGAACTTAACTTGTAGATAATTTCGAATTATTACCAAAATGTTGCAAATAATGTCTGAAAGCATTGACCTAGATTCACTCATTGCTAATATTATAAAGAATGACTTTAACATTTGCATATCATGTGCATATGTGCAAGCACATAACAACAACAACAGCAATAACTACTACTACTATCTAGTATTTTGAAACAGGGTTTCAGGAGAGTATGCTAGCTTTGAAGTCATTGTGTTGTCTAGATTGGCCTCAAACTTGGCGACCCCTACTTTAGCTTCCTGAGTCCTGGGATTCTAAGCACACACAATGCCCAGCTCCTTTCAATGCTTTGGGGATACCTTACAGACATTGTGCCCTTTACCTCCAAGTATTTTAGTGTATATCATAAGAAGGATATTTTACTATAAAACAGCAGTATCATTATTGGGCATATAAATTTACAATGGCATTTTAGTCTTAGCTATTCTCTATATTCCAGTTTTATCAATGGTCCCAATAATGCCCTGTGCAGAATTCTTTCTTCCCTCTCTAAAACAGCATACAATATTGAAATGAGCTGTCTGTCTGCTTGTTATTGAGGCAGGCAATACTATGTAGCCCAGGCAGGCTTTAAATTCATCCTCCTGCCCCAGTTTCCTAAATGCCAAGATTGTAGACACCCACATGCCCACTATTTGTTCTTTTTTAGAAACAGGGTTTTATTAAGCTATGTTCTCAGCCTCCAGCTGCACATTTAACATCCTTTAATCTAGATTATATCCAGATCATTTTTTTGGTGTGTGTTTTAAAAATAATATAAGAAGAATGCTATTTCTTCCTCACTTTTCACTCTGTCTTTCTCCTTTGTGTAATACTGGAAACTGAACTTAGTATGTTAAGCAAGCACTCTATCACTGAGCTGCAGCACTGTTCCCTTCAAGTTCCTTATTTTGCTTTTTGTAGTAAAGTTATGTGCTGTGGAATATAGTTTAAGATGCATTACATTTCTTTATGCTGTGGAATATCTGTTTAACGATGCAAAGATGTGTTGCATTCTTTTTTGTTGCATTTGTTTAACCCTGTAAAGCTATGTTACTTTGCCTGTCTAAAACACCTGACTGGAGCAATAAAGAACTGAATGGCCAATAGCTAGGCAGTAGAGAGGGATAGGTGGGGCTGCCAGGCAGAGAGAATAAATAGAAGAGAGAAAAGGGAGAATCAAGAAAAGGAGGAGAGTAGGATGCCAGGGGCCAGCCAGCCAGCCAAACATGGAGTAAGAAGGAAAGAAAGATATATAGAATAAAGAAAGGTAAAAGCACAGAGACAAATGTAGCTTAAAGAGAAATGGGATAATTTAAGAAAAGCTGGCTAGAAACAAGCAAGCTAAGGTTTGGCATTCAAAAGTAAGAATAAGTCCAAGCCTCTGTGTATTTATTTGGGAGCTGTGTGGCAGGCTTCCAAAGGAGTAAAAACAAACCAAAAACCAAAACCAAAAACAAAAAAAGTCCAACAACCAAAAAACCCAACTGCAGCCATACCTTACCGGCCAGGATGTCCTCTACTTGACATATCCATGTTAGGCACCATATTTGATGTACAGAGCATCAGTCAATTCCTAACTGTTACTATCACACTGTCAGTATGGTGTTCAACTTCTCCATTGTACAATTACAGTTTTTGTTTTCCTTGTAATTAATCAACAGTCTGTGAAAAGACAGTCTGAAGACCATGAAAAAACTTCCACAGTTTGACTCATTCTTCCCTGACTCGATTAATTTTTCATTTGCAAAATGATTTCCCAACACCAGCTTTCTCTTTATACTTTTATCTGTGCATGCTAGGCAGGCGCTTCACTACTGACTTATGTCCACAATAAAAGCTTTTCTAGTTTTATCTTTTTATTATTAGCATGCAATGATGAATTCTTGATTCCCCTCAGCAACTTCGAATTTGTTACTGTACTTAATTATACTGCTTCTCAAACCATTAATATCTGAGCAGCAGGAGTCCTTTCACCTTGTTTCTGTGCTTCCTGGTATGAATCTTTCAGTTCTTTGGAACAGTTTTTATTTTTTGGCATTTGATGTATTAAGCTTGTTTTGTATCTTACCTGCTCCAGACCTACAATCAGACACTTTAGTGAGAAGGACTAAAAGTTTTCAGTGAGGTGGTATGGTCTTAGAGGTCATGATCTGAGTATTACATATGTTCACTGTTACCAGAGAGTCTTTGTGTCTTATTCTTTTGAAAAATAGTCAGAAAAATATGCATGTATATACAAATGCACACGTGCCATATACACATATGCTTCAGAATTCCCAACAGTATTGCCAATCCATCCCCCACAGACTCTTATATTTTCTTATTCTATATCTGTATGTACTTTTTCCAGTGTGAGAAGTAAAATTATTAAACATATCAATACATTTAAAAATACACTAACCCTGTATGTAAAATATTTTAAAAATTATTTTATGATTGTTTCAGATATAACCTAATAAATAAGTATATTAAAAACACAAACAAAGGTGTCGTACACCTTTAATCTCAGCACGAAGCAGAGGCAGGTGAATCTCTGAGTTTGAGGCCAGCCTGGTCTTCAGAGTGAGTTTCAGGACAATCAGGGCTACACAGAGAAACCCTCTAACCCCAACAACCTCCCCCCACCAAACCCATCAGATTTTCAATTCTTTTTCCCACCTTCTGACCACCTGTCTGACAGCGCAATACTGTGTCCTAAGTTACACGAGTGAATTCTTTCTCATGTTTCCCCTTTAGCATTACATTTTATTTTGTACGTAAGATGAATGATTATATTAATAAAAAGTCAATTCATGACAAAATTGAAACTAACTTCTCCAGTGCAGCCATAATAAGGAGTTCCCAGCATAAAGACCATACTTCTTGGAGGAAACAAATCATCCAATGTTTTGATACTGGAGAAACGAGAGTCAAAAGCTCGGATGTCCTAAACAAAATGAAATAGAAAAGTTAATCATCACAGTTAGTATTTCTAAAGTCTGCATATCATCTTTTTTCTGCATGGGATTAAATCTGTTTTGTCTGCAAATGTCAAATATGAAGATTTTCTATACACTAATACCAAAACCTAAAACACACTGCCCTGTCGCATCGTTCTCCCGTCTAGATATGTCATCCATTTTCTACTTCATTTACTTCTTGCGCCATCATTGGTGGCTGACATTTACTATTAACCTCATCTTATGAAGACTGGCACAAAAGTTGGTGAATCTTGTCCAAGGTCACATAGTAAAGAAGTCACCTTGGGCAATTTGTGCTCTTAATTACTACACTATAGTTTATTTCCTAGATAGCAGCACCCCCTCCCCATTCATATCCATGGGATAGGGTTAAACTTCAAGTCCCCTCTACACAGTGTATGTCTGAAACCACAGTCAGTACTAAAACCTACAAAGACTTTTTTATACTTACACATGTATGACAGAGTTTACTTTATACATTAGCTAGCAGTGAGAGATAACTGTAAGACTAAGACCATGTGAACGTGGTCTCTGCCTTTCAAACTGTTTGCACTGTCTTCACCTTTCCCTTTCATGTGATGATGTGACGATACATGCCTCCATGATGAGATGTGGTGAATGACTGAGAACTTATGAAATGTGGACACACGCTCCAAGCTTAAAGTGGAGCAGCAAAGCCAGGGGTTGGTGGCGCACGCCTTTAATCCCAGCACTCGGCAGCCAGAGGCAGGCAGATCTCTGTGAGTTGGATGCCAGCCTGGTCCACAGAGCGAGTTCCAGGATGGTCAGGGCTGTTACAGAGAGAAGCCCTGTCTCAAAAAACAAAAACCAAAACAAAAAGTGGAGCAGCAGCAGTGGTGAAACAAGCTCTTCCCTTACAATTTCAGGACTGGAACATCATCCTTACTATCTATAATTGAACCATTCTTGGCATATGAGGGAAAGTTTCATCTTTCCATGTAAAGGGAGCATATTCTAACTGTCAGTACCATTATTCTTACACTTTGCAGTCATTCTAGTAGAATAAAAGTCACCATGCTTCAACAGTTGAGCTGGCGCTGAGATACTACTCAGGGTAGGCACACATCATGGATGCAGGGGACAAAGAGGATTTCCATCTGAGAGACAGCACAAGATTTGTCTCAATACTCAGAATGGTAATCAATTTAAAATGTATGAATTCCTTAATTCTGGCCCCTTCCAGGTAATATTTGAAGACCTTGGCTGAATGAAGGTAACTGAAGTATCAAGCAGTTATCCAGAGTGCCTCCTGTCCCCTTACAATATTAGAGATTATGCACACAAAGACAAAGACTTTAATATTCACTGTCTATTTCTGGCAAAATAATTTTTTTTAAAAAAGAAAGGGTCTTGATATGTTATCCACCACGGTCTCAAACACACAATCTTCTTGCTTCAACTTCCTAAGTGCCAGGACTACAGGTGTTCATCACTACACCTGGCTAAGGCCAGTATTTTTGAAGGATAAAAAAAAATGTCAACATGTTACAAATGGTGTGTTCTCGAAAATTTACTCTAGAAAATAAGTTCTTAAAAACTACCATAAAATAGGTTAAGCATGGTGACATACACCAACAACCCCAGGGTTTGGGAGGTAGATTTCTGTGAGTTCATGGTCAGCCTAGTCTATACAGTGAGTTCCAGGACAGACAGAGCTACATAGCAGAGAACCTGTCTCAAAAAAAAAAAAACCCAAAGACCAATGAACCAACCAAAGGAACAACAACAACAACAAAATTACCACAAAATCAAAACCATGTTCCCTACTTGTACATGCTGAGTGGGCACAGAATAATCCTTATATGGAAATATATTTAAAAATTTACAAAATCAAAACCAGAACCAAACCACTTATTTAATGTGTGTGTTTGTGTCTAAGGACAACTTGTAGGAGCAGGTCCTCTCTTCTGCCACATATTAATTATTGTGACTTTTTTTTTTTGGCATTGCTGAGTCTTAAAACATCTAGGACTTCATGAATTCTTGGCAATTACTCTATCACTGAACTGTATCTCTAGCCCTTAAAATATTTCGAGAAACATTCTTGCTAGGTTGCCCAGCTGCCTATGCTGGCCTTGAACTTAATATTGGCCTCTCAAACACTGGGATTACACAGGACCTTAAGAATGTGTAAAGTATTTATTAAGAAAGAATTGAGACTTGGGGAACCTCACCTTAACAATAGTTTGATAAACAAAAGGAAGAATTTGTTTTGACCATTGTTTTTCCAGATGAACTTCACCATTCTGACTGATTTGATATTTACGACCTGTGAGCAACTGAGCATACACAACGGCAGATGTTTCATTTATTACTATTCCCTTTCTTCTTAGGTACCTAAAGGAAAAATAAAAAAGAAAGATATAATTGTAGAAGTGTGTATGCAGTCCAGGTGATAATCATCAATCAAACACTTACACTGCAAATAAAGGCCCAGCAGTTTTCAGCATCCTATAAAGCAGTGGTTCTCAGCCTTCCTGATACTACAACCTCCAATTACAGCTCCTCATGTTGCGGTGACCCCCAACCATAAAATTAGTTTTGTTGCTACTTCCTAACTGTAATTTTGCTACTGTTGTGAACTGTTATGTAAATATCTGTGCTTTCCAATGGTCTTAGGTGACCCCTGTGAAAAGGGCTGGTTGACTTTACAGGTTGAGAATCACTGCCACAAAAGCTTTGATAGTATTGATTTTAGTCTGTGGACCATTTTCCCACTGTCTAGGTGACTGAATGAGAAATCAATCTGTAAAAACTCTAGAACTTCACATTCAAAGGGCACACATAAATGGCATAAAAAATTTAAGAGAAAGTGAAGAAAGGCAGCATGGAGCTCAGCAAACCAAGGAGCACCTTAAGTATGTTATTCACTGCAAAGGCTCATTTCTTCCATTTAAATGTGATACACATTTTTTATAAATAACCACCTTTGCCTTATTGATTCTTTTGGCTTTCAGGTAAAATAGCACACTTTTTAACACTAACCATTCTTTTAACAATGGCTTGAGGGACTGAACTCAGGCCTTGAGCACACTGAGCTCCAATCCTCAGTCCCCTGTGCTTTGTATCTGCATTTCCTTGCCATGTATGTGACACTGTGCTAAGAAGAGTGAATCAATCTCATAGTCCTCCTGCCTCAGTTTCCTGAGTGTGGGAATTAAAGTTGTATACTTTTATGCTTGACAAAGTTATTTCTTTTTTTAAAAAAATATTTATTTATTTATTATGTATACAATATTCTGTCTGTGTGTGTGCCTGCATGCCAGAAGAGGGCACCAGACCCCATTACAGATGGATGTGAGCCACCATGTGTTGCTGGGAATTGAACTCAGGACCTTTGGAAGAGCAGGCAATGCTCTTAACCTCTGAGCCATCTCTCCAGCCCCGACAAAGTTATTTCTTAAAATGTATTTATTTAGTATGTGTGGGTGTTTTGTCTGCATGTTTGTTTGTGTACCATGTGTGTGCATGATGTCACAGAGACCAGAAGAGGGCACTGATTCCCTGGGACTGGAGTTAAAGAACAGTGAATCACTACATGGGGGTCTTAACTCTGGTTAAAAGAACCCAGTGTTCTTAACCTCTGAGCCATTTCTCCAGTCCTAACCAAATTCTTAACGATACTCACTGTTCTGAAATTCCTTGTATTTCTTTAGTCCAGTTTGACTGTTCTTTATCTGAAAGTTCAAAGACTTTAGATGGTGGAGCAGTTTTTCCCAAATAAACCTTCTGTGTTCCTGGAGGTTCTTCCAAGTAAAACCTTAGACATAAAAACAAAGGAGAAATTATGTAAGCCTAGACTTTGTGCTTTAATGTAGAGCTTTTGCAAGGTGAGTGTTCATAGTAAACAAATTTTATGTGGTACAATTGCAAAAACAAACCCCTTAAACCCAAACTTTTTTTTTTGAATACAATAATCTAAATTGGAGAATAAAGGCATGTGGAAATTTCCTACATTGGGCACAATGGTATTCTCTGGATACCCAGTTATGTGAGGGGCTGAGGGAAGCAGATGTCTTGAGCATGAATTTGAGATCATTCTACACAGCCTGAGAAAAGATGAACTAACTATTCAGGTATAAATACAAAATGATATATCATTAGCACAATGAAAAGATAAAACATTAATAATCAAAGATTTAAATAATGGAGAGGTACACCGCATACAAAGGTTAGACAATTAAATACAGTAAAAGTATCAAACCTTCCCAAATTCATCTATAAGAATAAAACTTTTTTTTTCTTATTTTTGAATTTTTCTTCCCTTTGTCCCCATTCACCCCCACCTCTCTTTTCAGGACAGGGGCTGGCTATGTAGTATAGGCTAGCCTTGAACCTCAACATAGCTCGGGCGAGTGCTGAATTTGTAAAGGTCTTCATGCCTCAGCCCAGAGTGCTGGAGTTATGAGTATTAGCAATTATATCCTTAAGTTTAATACAATTGCTATAAAAATTCCTTCAATAGTAATAGATAAAGAACAATCTCTCTTAAAAATACAATAAATTAGAAAAGCTAAAGCCATTTTTAAGACGAAAAGTCGTAGCCTGGTGGTGGTGGCGCACACCTTTAATCCCAGCACTGGGGAGGCAGAGGCAGGTGGATCTCTGTGAGTTCGAGGCCAGCCTGGTCTACAGAGGGAGTTCCAGGACAGTTAGGGCTACACAGAGAAGTCTTGTCTTGAAAAACCAAAAGAAAACGTAAAAAAAAAAATAAATGAAGGTTATCAAACAGAAAGTAAATATGTTAGAGAAACCATGAACTGTATCTTACTTAGTTTCACCATCTGATACTGCCACGACTCTAGCTTCCTCCAGATGGGGCCAGTTAACAAAGACCGACTTTCCAAGCACCGATGAGGCGATGTTTTCTATACTCTTAAAAGCACAAACAGAAAAGTTCATACATGGTTTATGTCCAAGAGAAAACTCTCCAGTTCCATTTAAGTTTCAATTTATAAAGGAGGCAGATTAATGGTGTTACAAAATGCCCTCCACTAGGAAAATTCTGATTTTACTTGTTGGACTCATAATTATCTTTCTTACTTCTCTGATAACAAAAAAAACACTGAGAAGAACAGCAGTAATGGCTTTTGAGTTTCATTCTGGATGATACTTAAAGCAGAATCTAAGAACTATCTCATAAGAAAAAGAAGTATCTCACTTCACTTGTGGCATGTTAGCAAAAAAGAACATTAGATTCAAAGACAGGGGACACAGTTCCAAATTTTGGTTTTATTCTTTCAAATTCTGACCAAATTATGTTTTTCTTTATGAACAGAAATGATAGTGCATTTCTTCCAATGTTGAGGATAAAGAAAAATAATTCACTATTTTGTACAAGGTAATATTTTAGGTAATAAATTCTAGCTTTAAGAAGAAGATATTTTCTCTTACAGGTTAGAGAACAACTTTGTAGCAGAAATTGATGTTTAAGTATAAATTTTATTTGTCTTTTGAATTATATTTAATCTTTTGCTTTTGTTTGCTATTTGTTTTGAGATAAGAAAAGTATCATGTAGCCTAGGCTGGTCTGGCACTTGCTATGTAGCCAAGGATTACCGTGAACTTCCTGGTCTTCCTGCTTCTACTTACCAAGTGCTGGACTGCAGATGTGCTCCTTTAAGCATGCCCAGTTTAATATGGTTTTGGGGGTCTAGGTTTGTACACACTAGACAGGAACTCTGTTAACAGAACTATGTTCCCAGCTGAGCTGGTAGACGGCTTGCTTAGCATTCAGAGTCCTGAGTTCAATGCCCACAACTACACAACAGGGTGCAGTTGTGTATGTCTTCTATGCTAATACTTGGGAAACAGAGGCAAGAGGATCAGGAATTCCAGGTTGTCCTTTTGTAGGAAATTTGAGATTGTCCTGAGATATGCTTTAAAATAACTTCAGGTCAGATCAGATGTTTTGATAACAGCTTTGAGAAGAAAAACCCTAAAATACAATCCTTGTGAACAATCTAATGTTCACAAGGACACATAACTAAGGTCAAAAATACAAAGCAGCCCAGTTGTTACTAGCTGATGTACTTTCCTTAGGGTTGGTTGATAATCAAAGTGATGATTAAATCCTTATACTCATTTCTGCCCTCAATCTCCTGATCTAAAATACTATTATGATTTTTATCATATTAATGAGGGGCTGGAGAGATGGCTCAGAGGTTAAGAGCATTGCCTGCTCTTCCAAAGGTCCTGAGTTCAATTCCTAGCAACCACATGGTGGCTCACAACCATCTGTAATGAGGTCTGGTGCCCTCTTCTGGCCTGCAGGCATACACAATGACAGAATATTGTATACATAATAAATAAATATTCTAAAAAAGAGAAACAAACAAACAAACAAACAAAAAGACTATTAATGAGTGGGTATGTACCCTAAAGATTTAAAGTAGAAGTAACTGATTCTATTTCATATATAAATTTAGGTTTGTGATTCCTTATAAGATTACCTTTCAAGATAAGTAATAAAGTAATTGGCCCTTTCTTTGTAACTACAAAATACAGCCTGCCAGTTAAAACCCTGACAAGAACACCTTGCTTGTCCACATGGTTAAGCCATAACAAGTTGCTTGAGTATGAATGCATATGGGTTTTTAGGATAATTTTTTTTCAACTGTAATACATAAAATATTTAATCATGTAAGGGATATGGAAAATATGCTGTTTTTTACTGTTTGTTTAGTATTCACTGAAATCATTCATTTGAAAAACAAAATGTAACCATATTGTAATTTTTAAATTGCCTGAAAGATTTTGCTGGGTATATAACCTGCAAGGGAAAGAACAGAGATAGAGTTAGAGTTACAGTGGGCTTGAAGGAAAACATCAAGAATGGGAGAGTTAGAAAGAACTAGAGGAAAAACACCAAGAATAAAGACAGAATTAGAAGGAAAACATCAAGAATGAGAGTAGGAGAGCAGCAGGAAAGTAAAGAATAGAGAATGCAAATGAAGAATAAAGACCTAAAAGAAACCATTCAGAGACTGTGTTTCTTCCCTCAACCCCTCAGATAGAAAAGTCTTAGCATATGTTGACCCCTTGGATCTCTTTCGAGCCCTGTGCTATCTGGAAACTGCCCCCAGGCAGCAATAGCATTAAGAAATATTTCAGACACAAAGGTAAAAAAAATAAGACAATGCATTCCAACTCATTTATTTTGAAGTTGATACTCCTTCCTTTCTTTCAAGGAGAATGTCTTTCCTTTCTTTGTCCTAATGTCTGTCAGCACCTAGGTCAAGCATCTGCTCATACACGCATGTTCCTAGTTGCTGGCCAGCAGAGTTCATTTCCTTTTCAAATCCCATTCATGATGCTAGTTATAAAGGCTCTTAGTGTCACCTAACTCGTGTTTCTGTGCGTTATCTTTAAAGCTGAATCTCAGTTATGCACATTAAATCTCTCTGTTAAACACTTTGGCAGGTATAGCAGTTTTTTTTGCATGACTACTGTTCTATAAGTAAATGAATAAATAAAGTACTTACAAGTTCATCTGAATCTGCATCCACTGAGATTTCCAACATCATGTTCTCACCACGACTACTCTGCTGGAATACTTGAACACCACTTTTCTTCAAAAAAAACTTTAAAAGAATTCAAACAATTTAGTTTTAGTTCTTACAATCACTCCACTTTTAATAAAGTGAAAAAAATCTGAATTAAATAGCCACTGACTTTATGTTTGATGTGTTTCAAAGTAGGGAATCCACAGAAATATAAAGCCTTCTGGTCAACCCTGGTTATTCTGTTCTTGTTTATGTCTACACGCCAAGCATCTAATGATATTATTTTATACCTAGAAAATAAATCAAGGTAATTTAAAATTCAAACATTACAAGCAATTACAACTTTCAACTAACTTTTGACTATTTAATAAGAACCATTTTTGCTTTAAAAAAGAGAGGTGTGTATGATAGCATGAGTCTGTGATTAGAGAGAAGCAGAGGCAGGAGAATGCAAGTTCAAGGCTATCGTGAATTACAGAATGACTTCTAAGCCAGGCTAAGCAGATAGTGAGACCCAGAAACACCACAACCCCCCCATACACACACACAACACAAACACGGTAGAAGAGAAGAACTAGTCATTGAAAGAAAATTCAAGCATAGTGGCTTATACCTATAATCCCAAACAGGGAGATTGAGGTAGGAAGACTATACTGAACTTAAAGCTATTTGGGGCTACCCAAGGAAATCCTGTCTCACAGGAAATAAACTGTGGTGATTCCCGTGCAGGCTTTATAGCAGGCAAGAAAAATTGATCCTTGAAGACTCGAAGACAAGAATGAAACTCGGCTCAGACTGATTTTGTTGTATTGGGGTTGGACCAAGACTTCTACAATCTGGCCCATACCATTTTACTTTAGTCCTATTTAAGCACAGTGTGATTTAGAAAAAAGTATTCAGATAACAATGAACTCAGCCTCAAGTGCACTTTTTCTTACAAAGTACATCTGGCTTCCTTCACAGGAATGGGCATTGCTGACTCAGAGAGAGTGACCAAAAGTTAGGGTCTAGGGAGCTTGACTGAGGTAAGCATGACACCTGTGGGAGTCAGGATTGGCCTGGCCCTAAGATAACACACAAGTCACTCAGGCTGCTGTAAAGCACAAGTGACCACACTCCTAAGAATGGGTTTATGAATCTAAAAGCAATGCTCAAGATTTAGGGAAAAGGGTCTTTAATAAGTAAAAACCTGAATTTGGGAGATATGGAAGAGCCTGTCTCAGCGGACAGCAAAGGATCACCAGGCTGTAAAACTGCATCATTCCTAGTGTTCCAGGAAGAGCCACTGCGCACCTCATTCCACCGCGGAGGTAAGCTGTGTGTTTAACTTTCCTGGCTTCTCCAGTGCCTATCTGTGTGCACAAGGCTGTAGTTGGTTTTTATTACTCTTTAGATCTTTGGGAGGACTTGCCACCCAGCTCCCAAATAAATCACACAGAGGCTTATTTCTTTTTATGAGTGCCTGGCCTTAGCTTGGATTATTTCTAAGTTTTTCTTAAATAATCCTTTTTCTCTTTAGCTACATTTTGCATCTGGACTTTTACCTTTCTTTGTTGAATATCTTTTTCTTTTCTCCTTACTTGTGGCTGGCTGGCTGGCTGGCACCTGGTGTCCTCTTCTCCTTCTCTTGCTCCTCCCTCTTCTCTCTTTTCTCCTGTTTGCTCTCTGCCTGGCAGTCCCACCTATCCCTTTCTCCTGCCTAGCCATTGGCCATTCAGTTCTTTATTGAATTAATCAGGTGTTTTAGACAGGCAAAGTAACACAGCTTTACAGAGTTAAACAAATGCAACATAAAAGAATACAACACATCTTTGCATCATTTAACAAATATTTCACAGCATAAACAAATGTAACAAATCTTCAATTAATATTTCCCAACACAAGGCCTTTCTGCCCTCAACAAACAAACAAACAAAACAACAAAAACCAAATCAGGGGCCAATGATGTAGGTAAAGGCACTTGCTGCCAAGCTTGACTGATATCTTGTGTTTAATCCCTAGGGCCTACACGATAAAAAGAAAGAACTGACTCCCATAAGTCCTCTGATCTCCATATACTCATAGCATACTTGTGTCCTTCCCTCTCTCTCTTTCTCTCTCTCTCTCCCTCCCTCTCTCCATACACACAAACACACACACACACAAAGAAAGGTACAAAACGTAAAACAAAAATTCTAAAATATAACAAACAACAAAACCCTAAAATAAAGCAAACAAAACCAGAAAACTAAGAGCAACCCAGCTTCTCTACTGTTACTAGTCTAAGCACAATTAGGTCTGTACATTACTAAGTAAAGGTTTTTATCCCACTATTTTTAAACAAGCTACTCTCTCTCTCTCTCTCTCTCTCTCTCTCTCTCTTTCTTTCTTTAAATTGAGGGGTCTGTTGGTAGTGGTGCATGCCTTTAATCCCATTACTCTGGAGTCAGAGGCAGGTGGATCTCTGTGAGTTTGAGGCCAGCCTGGTCTATAAAGTGAGTTCCAGGACAGCCAGGACTCCACAGAGAAATCCTGTCTCTAAACAAACAAACAAAACCAAAACCCAAAACAAACAAACAATTGAGGAGTAAGGAGATGGCTCAGGTAGTAACTTGCTTGCTTTCCAATTTAAGGATTTGAGGACAATCCTAGCATCTACTTAAAAAGGAGGGCGTGGCAGCATGCCTCTGTAATCCCAGAGCTGGGGAAGACAGAGACAGGAGGACCCCTGCACTTGCTGGCCAGCCAGTCTAGCCAAATTGGTGAGTTCCAGGTCCACTGAAGAACCTATCTCAAAAACAACCAAAACGAAACCAAACTAAACAAACAAAAACAAAAAAAAAAACCCTTATACATAAACACAAAGGGAAATGTAAATCTATATTTTATGTTCTAAAAGAATAACATTTCAGTCTATTTTATTGTTCTTTGTATTTTAAAAAAATACCATTCGCTCAACTGTCATTTATATACATGATTTTCAAGAAGGCACGAAAAGAGAAAAAATAAAAATGGTATTTTAATGGGAAGAGAATGACAAAAACAGATTTAAGAAAGGAAAATAGGGGTTCTCGACTTTTTTAAATCTCTGGCTGGGTACAGTTGATGACTGTAAGGTTATGTTTATCAAATATTGCTGGGAATAGAGACATGAACAATGAAAACAAAAATCACAAAAATTTAATACAGAAATTGTTTAGAGATAAAGTCAAAGATATACTAGACAGAAAAACCCACAAAGCTGCAGTAGAAGGAATTAGCGTCTGCTCCAAGGAGAGAGTGACGTGGTCCACGGAGAGACAACGCTCTGATGCTGAGCAGCTGGGTGTCGCTCAATAGTTATTTATTTCATTTTGAGACTGGGAATCATTATGTTGTTGATCTTGAATTCCTGGGCTCAAGCAAGATTCTTCTGCTTCAGCCTCCTAAGCAGCTGGGACTCTAGGCTTGAACTACTATCCCCAGCTTATTTGATATCAAGTAATTGTCACAAATATGAATTTCCATATACACACAAACACTTGAACATCTATAAGAAGAATTCATAAATTACCAAGTAGCATTACCTTGCACAACACCGTTCTATGGCAGGGAACTTTTCTGGCCATGGAGAGGAGTAGGTGAACTCTGTGTCTCTATCATACCAGCACATTAGACATTCACTGTGTTGGTTTCTTTTCCTCTCTTCCTTTTTGAGGGAGTGATTACACGTCTCCATGGCTTCCAACAATCGTTTCTGATGTAAATAATAATAAATGATTAAAACAAATACCGTAATCTCAACATACAGAAAAGTATTTTCCCCTTTGTACACTACTAGGTTCTTAAAAAATAACATCATGGGCTGATGGGGTAGCCATCTGTTGCTGTCTGATGACCTCAGTTCAATCCCTCAGAAATAATCAACTTTCACAGGCTGTCCTCTGACCTCTACCTGTGGAACATGTGTGCACACACAGTGAAAATAAAATTAAAGCAAAACAAGAGTTCAGTGTCATTCTCAGACACATTGCAAGTTCTTCACTACCCCGACTTACAACATAAAACACAAAACAAAACAACAGAAAAGGTCCTGCGAGAAGAAACTATGGAGTAAGACGGCAATCTAGAAGCTGTCCGTGCAAAGGAGAAGATTTAGCGTAAGAAGTAGACTCGAATCCAAAGACAGACAGACAGGAGAACTTGAGAGACAGGTTATGTACTGAAAAGAAGTTCACCCAGCTGGGCATGAGATGCAATCAAGAGACCAAAGTACCAAAACGAAGAATCCATGGGATAAAAAAACTAAAAACTAAAAGTACAGACCAGGTATTCAATGACATTATACCAGTATTTCTCAACTGTAGAGAAGACATGAACACCTAAACATAAAAGGCATTCAATTTTTACTTATTCACTGATTAATTATTGACTGGTGTGCACACATGCAGGTATGCTTGCTTGTGTGAGAAGGGAACATCGAGTCTTCCTGTATCGCTCTCCACTGTATGAATGTTTTTATTTTACTAGGTTTAATTTACTTATTTTATGTGTGTAGGTGTTCTGCTTGCATGTAAGTTTATGTCTGTTGCCTGCAGAGGCCAGAAGGTGTCGTATCCCCTGAAACCGGAGTAACAGATGGTTATGAGCAGCCATGTGGGTGCTAGAACCGAACTTAGGTCTCTTGGAAAGGCAGTCAGTGCTCTTTACTGCTAAGCCATCTCTCCAGTCCCAATTTTTGTTTATTAAAATGAAAGTATTTAGTGTATAAATATATATGTACATATGTATGTGAATGCATGGATGCCATAGCACATGTGTGGAGGTCAGATGAAAGAAAAGTAGGAAAAGAGCCAGGTGGTGGTGGCACACGCCTTTAATTCCAGCACTTGGGAGGCAGAGGCAGGCAAATATTTGTGAGTTTAAAGCTAGCCTATTCTACAGAGTGAGTTTCAGGACAGCCAGGGCTACACACAGAGATACCCCATCTTGAAATTGAGACATCCCCCTCCCCGCAAACAAAGCAACAACAAAACACAAACAAAAAATTTAAACCCAAAAAACAAAAAAGAAAAGTAGGAAAGAATCTATGATGTAACATAGAAAACCTCTAACATTAATATAGGAGAAAGAAAGAAACAAAACAAAACATAACAAACAAAAAACCCAAAACCTAGTCAAGTGGTGTACGCCTCTAATCCCAGCACTTGGGAGGCAGAGGCAGGCAGATCTCTGTGAGGCCAGTCTGGTCTACAGAGTGAGTTCCAGGATGGCCAGGGCTACACAGAGAAACCCTGTCTCAATAAACAAACAACCCTCGCCCCACCCCCTCAAAAAACCCTGATCCAACAGTAATAACCTTCTACGGAAATGGCCTCAACTCAATAACAAAAGAGAGAAAGAGAGGAAGAGAGAAAGAAAGGAAGGAAGGAAGGGAAGGAAGGAAGAGAAAGATAGCTGACTGGACTGAAAAGCAGGATCCAACTGTTTGTTGTTGCTAAGAAATACCTCACTGACAAAGAAAGGTACCCACAGATTGAGATTCAAAGGATTTCAAGTTAGTCTATCAAGTGAATAGAAGGAAAAGAAGCTATTGTAGATAACCTCATATCTGAAAGGGTAGACTTCAAATCAAAATTGGTCAGACAGGTGAGAAGTCCATTATATATTACAGAAAAATTAATCAAGATGACATAATACTTGAGATGCATGTGCTAAATGTTGCAGCTCTCTATTTCATAAAATAGACACCAATAGGCATAAAAGGTCTCACACGTCTTGATAGAATAATAATGATGAGTTTAGTACTTCACTCTCATCCACACAAAAATGAACAGAGACTCTTCAGAGTTAAATTATACCATAGATCAAATGGACTTATGAGGTATCTATCTACAAGAGATACCAAATATACATTCTCAGTAGTCCATAGAACCGTCTCTAAAACCGACCACATTCTTGGCCACAAATCAAGTCTTCACAAATACAAAAGAATCAAGGTATACATGTAGTATACCCAGTAAATCTAGCACTTTGAAGAAGGACCAGGAGTTCAAAGTCATTCTCAGCTACACAGCAAATCAAGGCAAGCCTGGACTATGAGACTGTCTTAAAAAGCCACACACACACACAAAAAAAAAAGAACTGGAATAATTCCTTGTATCTTATCAGATCCTAGTGGAATACTAGACATTAATAGCAAAGAGAAACTACATGGAAACTGAATGATATAAACTGGCATGAAATGAGTGACTGAAGAAATCATGGAGGAAATTTAAGGTTCTAGAATCAAACGAAAATGAAGGCACAGCATTCTGGTACAGCTAAGGGAGTCCTAAGATGAGAGTGGACAACTATGAAAGTCAGTGATCTCAAATAAATCATCAAACAATAAACCTCGAGGCTTTAGAAACCAAAGAATAAGGCATATCCCACACAATAGGTGGCAAGGATTTTCTGGAAGTACCCTAAGGACACAGGCTATAAGCTCAAGAATTCAAGGAGATTGAGTCAAGTCAAGTTTATAACAGTAAAGAAAACCATCTGCAACGTTAAGAGACAACCTATAAAGTGGGAGAAAGTCCTTGCTAACTATACATCTGATAGGGGATTAATACCTAGAAACTATAGTGACCCCCAAAAATTAAGTAGAAAAAAAATTAATGAATAAGTAGACAAATGGACTAACCAGACAATTCTCAAAAGAACAGATACAATATAATAATATAGCTAATATATGAAAAAATGCTCAACATTCTAAGCCACCAGGGAAATACAATTAAATGAACTCTGAGTCTATCTCACCCCGATTAGAATGACAAACATTAAAACAAAAAATGATTGGGGCTGGGAAAATAGCTCAGTTGGTAAGGGATTAGCTAAAAAACATCAAGACCTGGTTTGGTTTCTAGCTTGCCCATGTAGAAAGCTGGGCATGGTGGTATAAACACACTTGGAATCAAGTGCTGGGTAGACGGAAACAGGTAGGTCCTCTGTTAGACCAGGGGATGATGTCTGAAGAATGACACCTAAGATTATCTTTGGCTTACACACACACACAAACAAACACACACACACAAACAAACACACACACACACACACATTAAAAGACTGCATTTATATGTAATTATTTCATATACTGACCTCATCAATAAAGGGTATTAATACCACAGCTTCCCATTCCTGTTGTTTCCCATTTAGATCAGTTTTAAAATCTGGTGGGTAATATTCTATAATTGGTGAGTCTTCGCTGGTCATCAAATGCTGTGAAAATGTAAACAGGAAAACAGATAAAAGAGACACTATCACTACAACTCTTCATTAACATATAGTACAATTCCTTACCTTATTAGGTTGCAACAATATATTTGGTACATTATTGCTTCCAACTAAATGAATCCTTTTAATTTTTCTTTTTTTCTGAGACAGCATCTCCCTGGTGTTGAAATTAAGACTCACCTGGTTGCAGACTCCCCAGTGTTGGAATTACAAACCTGTGTCAGCTTGTTCAGGAAACTGTAAAAATTTCAATTGTATTGATACTCATTTCTTTTCTGCTTCTTTAACTTAGTTATGGAGCAAAATTACTTTTACTATGAATGACTTCTCTTTCTCTCTTAATTCCTATCTTGAGACAGAATTTGAGTAATCCAGATTGCTTTGAACTCAAGAGTCTCCAGCCTCAGTCTCAAGAATGCTGGGATTATAGGTGCACACCACCACATTCCTGCTACTATTAGTTTTAATTCTGTCATCTTTACTTAGAAACTTTTATTACATTTTTGTATTGTGTGTGTGCACGTGCATCATGGTGTGTATGGAGGTCAGAGGACAACCTGTGGGAGTCCATTCTCTCCTTGCACCATGTGGATAATGGGGATGGAAGTCAACAGACATAGCAGCAAGTACCTGTATTTGCTGAGCTTCTTGTCAGCCCCATTTTTATTTTTCTATTGTCTTTTCACTCTATAACATCTACTACCTAAATTCTGTTCTGATGACGCGGTGCGATCAGTAATTAATGGTCCGCCAGACTAGCTTACAAAAGATACAGTTTTAATAAAACAGAAGGAAAACTTACACCAGAATCCCAATCCTTACAGAATCCCAAACAGAATCCCAAAACTTACACCAGAAAGCCAGGCCAGAGAGAGGGTGGGGAAGTGCACCCGCCAGGTTTAGAGGTAAATTTTTGCCTTAGGGTAACACGCCCCACGGACAGAATGTGATTGGCTGAACTCCCCTATCACTGTTCCTTTATTTACAAGTTTAGTTCAGTTCCTTTCACATATTTCCAAGAGTTTTTCATTTCAACCTCAAATTAATAATTTATTTCCAAGCCCTAATCAGTGGATTCTAGTAGTATGATTACTAGCATCAAAGATAATCTAAAAAGAAAAAAGTAAAATCTAAGACCCACAATACCATTAATAACAGACCCAAAATATCATTAATAACAGAGTCTGACAGCAAACATTTTTATTATATTCTATAAAAGAGGTAAACAAAGGGCTGAAGAGATGGCTCAGCAGTTAAGAGCATTGCCTGCTCTTCCAAAGGTCCTGAGTTCAATTCCCAGCAACCACATGGTGGCTCACAACCATTTGTAATGAGGTCTGGTGCCCTCTTCTGGCCTGGGACAGAATATTGTATACTAAATAAATAAATAAATATTAAAAAAAGAGGTAAACAAAGAAAACATACCGATGTCTTATGCAAAAAAGGATTGGGAAGTGAAAGGGAAGATTATAAATTTAAAAAATGAAGTAACATATTCCTAAAATGATAATATAAAATTTAATTGCTATTGCATGAACACTAAACAAATACAACAAATGTGATTATAACATACTTTTTGGCTAACAGTGGTATGCTATCAAAAGTTTAATGTAGCTGAAGGAAAAAACAAACAAAAAACATTAAAGATATTTAAGAAATAGAGGCTGAAATCAGGGTTAAGTATAGGTTAGGGCCTGAAAGAGGGCCCATGACAATGTTAAGAGCAATGGGTTATGTATGTACATCTATTCCAAATTGTGAGAAGACCAGACATGAAATGAGAGGTTTGGACACAGATCCTACAAAAACCAAATAACGTTTATAATCTGCTTAGTATGTTTAGTGTGCTTCGGAGACCCTGTCTTTCTCTAGTTATGTGAAATATATTAGTAAGAGAAAGGTCCTTCAATTTGATAGTTGGAATGCTTAAAAATCTAACTATATCCTGAGGTGACACTGGTGTAAGATAACTAGAATTGCCCTCACTCACTGGGTGGTGGTAGCGACGCAAGCCTTTAATCCTAGCACTTGGGAGGCAGATCTCAGTGAGTCTGAGGCCAGCCTGGTCTACAAAGCAAGTTCCAGGGACAACTAGAACTATTATACAGAGAAGCCCTGTTGGTGTAGGAGGTCCTTCTGTTTAAGTGTTGCTTTCATTGGTTAATGAATAAAGAAACTGCCTTGGCCTAGTTGATAGGGCAGAACTTAGGTAGGCGGAAAAAATAGAACTGTGCTGGTAGGAAGAAGGGCAGAGAGAGAGAAAAGCCATGAATCCTCCACTGGACATGGACACCAATTAGAATCTCCGGTAAGCCACAGCTATGTGGTGATACACAGATTAATGGAGATGGGTTAAACTAATATGTAAGAACTAGCCAAAAAGAAGTTAGAGCTAATAGTCAAACAGTGTTTTAATTAATATCGTTTCTGTGTGGTTATTTTGGGTATAAGCTAGCCGGGCGGCCGGGACAAACAAGGGGCCCTCTCCTTTACAATACCCTGTCTTGAAAACAAAACAAAACAAAACAAAAACAAAAACAAAAAACTCAAAATAAGTATTGTATTGTCTAAGATAAATAAAAATTCATTTATTAAATTATTTTGGGCAGCAGTATTTTATATTTATATGAAGAATTAAATACAAAAAAATTATATAAGGGGTTGGAGAGGTAGTTCAATGGTTAAAACCCCTGTCTTTCCAGCACCTATATGGAAACTCACAACTGTACATAACTCCAGTTCCCTTATCCAATGCCCTTATCTGTCTTTTGTGGGCACCAAGAATGATGAGGTATATAGATATACATACATGTAGGCGAAATGTACATACATATAAAAATAAATCCTTAAAAAAGAATATTAAGAAAACTCATTCAATTCCAAAACCTACCTGGTAGCAGGTAGGAAGCAAATTTTTGCTAGCTGATGGGAGGACGGCAAGAAGCTGCTCGAATGGTTTGAAGGGTTTCCCCAGTTCAAAATGGATTTTAAGAGAACTGATGTTGCGGATATCAGACAGGAAGGGTGCATAATGATAGGGATAATACCTAGGAGAGAAAATGAGTTTTAAAATGAAAACATTACACAAAATGGTCAATATTGAACATTTTCCTACATTTATTTAAAAATGCACAGGTATAATTAAAAATGTATCATACATAATTCTATCTCTTGAGTATAAGAAATTAGCACCTCTGTAAAGCTTAGCTCACATGATAGCAATAAATATAATATTTTCATAAATATATTTTGATAGGTGGGAACTTAAGAGACAGGGTTTCACCTGGGAAGGCAGGATTGGCCTCAAACTCACAACTTTCTTAAGTGTGCATTGGGAATGCTTCTTTTTAAGTCTCAAATAGAGATCACAAATCCCTCAATCAATCCACGGAACAATGAGGTGGTCAGAAGCATCATTCTAGTCACTTGAACCTGGGACCTCTCCTCGACGGGCGGCACTCAGTATTCAGTAGACACTGACACCAAAGCTCTAAGGCCCCATGGCGTGTGCGCAAACAGCCATGTCAGTCAACTCTAAGAAAGGTTATCTCTGAATCGGGGTACAGGGCACTGTATCTATGGTAGAGATTAAGCTATAAATCAATCACACACATTTTGTTTATAATATCTTCCTATCTTTAACTATAGACATGTTCTAATAAGGTTTTGAACATGAAATTAAAAATATTTCAATATGCTACAGGTATCTGAATCACTGGACACAGGGAGGCAGAGACTCAGAATATAGAGCAAGAAAGGAAGAGAAAAAGGAAGACTAAATTTTTTTAAAAATTTTATTTATTTTGTTTATGGGACTGTACAGGTGTGTGGAGGTCAGAAATTTGTGGGAGTAAGCTCTCTCTATCATGTGGGCCCCAGTGACTGAACTCAGGTTGTCAGGCTTGGTAGCAAGTTCCTTTACCTGCTTAGCCAACTTGCTTGCCTGAGAGACTTCCACATTCCTAATTATGGCATTCAGCTGTTTTAGATCGGACAGTTTAGAAGTCAGAATAGCATGTGAAATAGTGTAATTACATTGATGTACTAAACAGATAGGCTTGGCTTGGCTTTTTGGGATGATTACTTTGGTTTTCTGAGCTTTAATTTCATCTGGGGCAAGTAGAAAATGATGTTTACTTCAAGTACATGAAAATATGGTTTTGAAGTCCCTAATTTTACTGCTTGGCAATAAACAGCAATTACTGGCATTTAGCCTTCTAAAATAACAAATAAGGATCTTATCTTTAAACTTCGATTGTTCTTGAGAGAGGCCTGAGAATGGAAGAATTTACTTATCAGCTGGCTAATAAGTGAACGAACACCTAATGCCACATTATTCTGCACTGTTCTGAGCTCTGCCATCACAGCAGTCTCTACCATATGCTGCCTTACAGTTAGAGGGTTTTTCCTTCCTCTTTCTTTTTGAGGCAAGATTTTGCTATGTTTAACAGTTGACCTTGAACTTGTGGTGAACCTCCAGCCTTGGTCTCTCAAGTGGTGAGATCAGATACAAGCTGCCACATCTGCATGTTATTCTCCCATTTTAGTGAATGAGTAGATGTAATTGGCTAGGATCAGATCACCCCTACTACTCATGTACAGAAGCCTGGTTCCCACCTGCTGGGCTATTTGGGAGGTTCTGGAAACTTTAGGAGGTGGGACTAGTTGGATTTTGGCCACCTAGACATGTCCTGAGGGGCTGTATCTTGTCCCATGCCTTCCTTTATCTTTCTCTCTACTTTCTAGTTACAATGAAGTATCAACTTTGCTCTCCATGTCCACCCTGCCATTTGTTTCACCATAGCCTAAAGAGATTGGAGCTGGCTGAGCAGAAACAGAAGTCTGAAACCATAAGTCACAATGATCTTTCTTCTTTTAAGTTGTTTTGTCAGGAATTTTTGTCAGTGAGAAGAGCTGACCAATACAGAAAACAGTAGAGAAATGGTGATTACTTTTTATTAACACAAGCAAATCCTTTCTTTCAGTCACAAATATAAGTAGTTGACTCTTCAGAAATTATTCCTGTTAAAGAGTATTGTTTTTGAGTACACAAAAATGTGGAGAATATTACAAACACCCTCACGTAACTATCACTGGAACTCAAGCACTTGTTAAGATCGTGCCATGATAAGGGATTCTCTTATTTTTACTTTTCTGGTGGCACTAGGAATCAACCTCCAGACTTCATCCATGCTAGATGAGGGCTCTATGATGGAACTCTATCCACGATTCTCTCTTACTGGACAACTAGAGTCTCATCCAAGTGATTTATTACTAAGCTACACCCCAAACCCATGCGGACTCAGACTGATAAAGTATTTTACAACTTTAGATTAACAAAGGCTAGGGCTATAAATATCTCTCTTAGTCGAAAGTCTTTAAAATATTTTCATTTAAAAACAGATTACATTTAATTTAAAATTGACTGTAGACATATATGAAAAATTCTTTTAAGTAGAAATAAAAGGAAAAGAGATGTGTAAATGAGACCCTAGTAGTAGGAACCATTATAAAATGAGATGCCTTTACCAGCTCCAGGACTGGACTCCATGATAGTAATAGTGTAAGATCCACTGTATAGCTTGAACATAACAAGCAGCTTGATCAGCCAGAAACTCGCTGAAACAGAAAGAAGCATTTTCACAACAATGTTGTTTTCTGAAGACAGACCAATATTTTCAGTGTATTTTTAATACCTAAACATTATAAACAGAAGAACTGTAAAATATTTACAATTCCATCTTGTCACATGAAAGGTTGTTTACAGTTTCCTAAGCCAACTATCAATAGAGTTAAATCGGATATGCATGCTTAAGTTGTCATTATGACATAGTTTTGCCTTAATGTTTGAAGACTCACCTACTGACCTTTCTACAAAGTGGTATTATCACTCTCTTAAATAGTGGGAATGAGTGTAAGCCCCCGAGTTCTTAGAAATCTGGCAACAGTATTTACAATACCTTTTTAAAAGTGCTATATGTTCTGAAAAAAGATCCCTCTAGATTTGGATAAAACAAATCTTAAGATTGCCACAACAAAGCAAGCCATAGTCTAAAGTCAAAAATAATCACTTAGAAATTTCTTATCTCTCTTTTTCTATAGGTATGCGTGTATCTTTAAAATGTTCTATTATCAGTTTATATGTGTGTATATGTATGCCATATACTTGTGTGGAGGTCATGAGACAATTTTCGGGAGTTAATTCTCTTGGTAGGTGTGTTTTTAAACCTGATACAGAATACTTTCTTACTTTAAACAAGTACTTCCTGATTGTTAGAAATCTGGATAATGGAGAAAACTATTCTTATCACCTTCTAGCAATTCCTCGTCATTTCAGTCACTGCTGAGACGAGGCCATGCTATTTTGCCCTTGCCCTGTGAATTTCTAGGATTCAGCGATATTATGGGCTTAGCTTTCCAAATAGCTCCGGTTATGCAGTACTAGCCCAGAGTTAGTTTTTCTTGTTTACCCAATTAAAAAAAGTACCAATGAATTGTGTGTATTATAAACATGTGTGACTGTGTTTCCTGTCTTTAGGTTGTAAGTATCTTTCTGAGTGTGGGGAACTTGTTGCAATCACCATTGAATAACTATGCAGATTCTGGAGATGGGGAGAGGAGCAATGATGAGCTAGAGCCTTCCTTTATGAAAGACAAGATCTTATTATGGAGCAGAGCTGGCTTTCAACTTCCACCTTCTGTTTTGGCCTCCTGACTGTACTCAAGTGTCACAAACCCTGACTCTATGATGGTGCTTCTTATTAGACTTAAAAAAAATTACTTGGTTATTTCTGAGACAGACTCTTGTAAGTAGCCATGACTAACTTGGAACTCACTTATGTTAAGTTTTTCGATTTCAGACTCGTGGCAGTCTTTCTGCCTCTGCTTCCTGGGTATTTCCTAAGGGATTACAGTCACTTGCTACCATGTTGAACCATAGACATTTATTAGTTTTATTTTTTTCCGATATTGGAAATCAAACTTGGGGTCTCACAGAGTATAGGTAATCAGACTTTCACTGAAGTGTATCCTTAGTCCATTTATTGGACATTTAGATTACTTTTAATTTTTTAACATTTTAAATAACTTTCTAATATGTATAAGGATGCTTCTATTTGCTCAGTAAATCTTTTAAAGTAATTTTCTGCATGTGTGATGTGCATGCTTGCATATGTGTGAGTGTATATGTTTGTGCGAAGGTGATTGTGTACATGTGTCCTTGTCTGTAGAGGTCAGAGACTGATGCTGGGTATTTCCTCAATTATTCTCCACTTTAGATGTTGAGGAAGGGTCTTTTGTTGACCCCAGAGGTCACCAACTTGGCTAGTCTAGCTACCTAGATTGCACTGGGGACATCCTGCTTCTATATTCAGGACATCTTCCCGAGCTCTAGGGCCATAGGTGACTGCCACACCTGCCTTGGCATTTACACAGGTGCTAAAAATGAGAACCTGGGTCCTCAGGTAGTACGGCAAACGCTAGCCACTAAGTCATCTTCCTAGTTCATCTTGCCAGCAATTTTTATTATAGGAACAGAACACATGCCAGAATTACTATCATAAAATCCATAATTAAAGATACCAATACACCTCAGATATTTCATTAAGATCATGTTGTTTTCTGAAGACCTGCAAAATTTACTTTTTCTACTGCAAAATAAAAACAATGGAAAAAAGCATACTCAGATACTACATCGACTCCCATCTTTGTCATATAGTATGTTCTCTTATATTGTCTAAATTCAGTTTCAAACAGATCATCATCTTCAGTCTCATCTTCAAAATTATCTGTGAGAAAAACCAGAAAGATGTGACTGATAAATATGAATATTGTTTTTTATCTAATGTTGTTATCAGTGCATGTCAAAATTGATACTTATAAACTATCATGGGAATTTATCCAATCCAATATTGCTGGGTTAATACTAATAAAGGAAAAGAGAAACAACTATTGTGTCAAAGAAATAACATTAAACACAGTATGCACTCACCTTCAGAAGCCACTACTTCACCTTCACTTTTGTCTAAAGCGGCCAAACTTAAAGAATTTTCCTGGCCCTATAAAAATTATAAATCATCATAAGATGAACAGTAAGATGTGTTTCCAAGTCAGACATGTAAAAAGGAGATTAGAAAAAAAAACTAAATACAACTGAAATGATCTTTAAAGAATACTCTGTAGCATATTACTTTAAAAATAAGATAAAACCCCCTGAAACTGTATTTCTTTGGTTATCAATTATTTTATAAAATTATACATTTTTGCTATAGAACTGACATACAATACACGATTCTCACTAATGTAAAAAGTATATTTGATTATATGCACCAAGACCTGCTGTGGGATGTCCTTCTGTATGCTGTGAATGTTTTTACTACCATTGGTTAATAAAGAAACGGCTTTGGTCTATGGCAAGGCAGAATATAGTTAGGCAGAAAAGCCAAACATACATGGGGGAAAGAAGGCAGAGTCAGGGAGACACCAGTAGTCTCTGTGGAAGCAAGATGTGAGGTAACAAGCCACGAGCCTCATGGTAAAACATAAATTAATAGAAATAGATTAAGTTGTAAGAGCTAGTTAATAGCAAGCCTGAACTAATAGGGCAAACAGTTTGTAATTAATATAAGCTTCTGTGTGATGACTCAGGAATAGATAGATGGCTGGGAAACAAAAGTGTCGCCTCTGTTTACAAAGATCAAGACTTCCTAAAAATTTATCAATTACAATATAAACAAGAATGAAATGATTTTTACAATTTATCAATTTAACATTGTTAGACACCAATTTTGAACTGCTACTAATGCAGTCTGTCTAAGCTTGAATCCAATGAGCACTTCTGAATTTCTGAATCTTGTCATTCTTAAGACTATTCTAACCTACGTATCTTCCACGCTCGGCCCACCTGTTTTTATTTTTATGACCTTAACTCTTCTTCTAGTGTTTCTGATAGCCTAGTTACTGGCAGTGACTCCCATTAGATTTTCCTTATACTATTCTGGCCTCTACCAGCTCTGGACTGCTGAGCCAACTCTCCAACCTCATTTATTGGCTTCTTGATATAGGAAAATGCTATTCCTGAGAAGCGAAAACAAGAAACTCATTTTCCTTAAATACATACTTATGATAATGAGAGAAACACAGAGAGATAGAAACCAAAACAATTCTAGATGCTCATGGAGAAGAAAAAATGAGAACAAAAAAGCCCTGGACACCGAAAATAAGGAATATTAGTTTTATCACTATAGCTAAAAAACAAGAGAAGAAGAAAAGAAAAAGAAAAAGAAAGAAAGAACACCAAAAACTGGTTACCTTTGATTTTCTCTTTTCCTTACAGTTCCTGGCTTCTTCGGCGGCCGCACCTGCTGCTTCGTTGAGATACTTGTTACCAACTTTGCTTTCAAACCACTTGAGGTCCACAAAAACTTCACTAAAGTGCTCTCGATCAAACTGACCAAAAATAATTGAATTTTAAAATGACTTAAACGTGAAAGAATATAAATTAAATTTCTGAAGTATAGAAAATTAGGAAAATGTTTACACACACACATAAAATATCATTAATGTGGATAATATTTATATATGTACACATACAATATCATTAACTCTAAAAACTAGACATCTAAGTAACTAAAATGAAATAATTCAAATGAAATTATACAGAATGAACAATCAGAACAAAGCTACAGTTTTTTTTGCCCCTGGCATTAACTAAATGATTAATGACCATTTATAGCTCTCCCAGGATAGGAAAAATAAACCCTGTTGTTACTTACATCTGATAGTTTCACAAGGTATTTCTCAAATCGAGGTAAGTTGAGATGTCCACTTTCATTAATGTAACCTAAAATGAACCAAATCTAAACTTGTAGTATAAACTGACACTATTTTCTAATAGCTCTATAAAATTCTTTCAACAAACTGCTGAATGTAGCACGATTAATATAAACCCAGAGACAGAAATTGGGGTTCAACCTGAAGGTGAGAAAATCAAAACAGTCAGTTACTGGCTCTTACCTCTACCTCAGTCTGAAATGGCAATCTTGTCTCCACAAATCTCAGAATGAGACTGAGCCTGAGAGCTGTCTCCTCCTGTCGTCTTATATTCCTCTCTAGGGCTGGGATTAAAGGTGTGCACCACTACCGCCTGGCTTCTATGGCTAACTAATGTGGCTACTGGGATTAAAGGTGTGTGTTACCACTGCCTGGTCTGTAAGGCTGATCAGTGGGGCTATTTTACTCTCTGATCTTCAGGCAAGTTTTATTTATTAAAATACAAATATCACTACAGTTGATTAATTCTTTTAGTGAAGAAAAGCCTCTGTTTTGCTGTCTAAAAACCAGCTTTAGTTCTTATAACCTTCTTATATTACTATATTTTAGGCAAAGAAGTAAAATACTAAAAATTACGGGTTATGTAGTAACAATGCTTCCACATTTCCAACCGTATCTGTAACAGCACCATGTGTGTTACAGTTGATCTGGACCATATTTGTAACAGCACCACGTGTGTTACAGTCTATCTGGATCACATCATATCTGTAACAGCACCAC